TGTACATAGACCTGGGGGGCAGCCACTCTCACCAACTGGAACCACAGGAGGTAAAGACTGGCAAGTTTCTTTAACCTTCAGCATAATAAGGCAGGGCTCTTGCAACAGTTTTTCCTTCAATTGCAGGAACTTTGTGGCGTGGCGGGAAATTTGAATATGAACTATTTGGTGCATACATTGTGATAATTCAGAAAAGCTCTGGCCAGCCCCCAAAATTTTCATTTTGAAGTGATTGCAAAAAATTTTTACATTAAGCAACAAATTCTTGATGTCTGATTCCAATGGAATTTTCCTCCATCCCTAGATCACCCCCCGGTTCTACCCAAGAGTTGGTATCATCCATCATTGACACCAAACACACTATTGACACCAAGATGGCCGCCAGTGAGGTCAGCATATTCCGAGGATCTGTACCGGTGACCTCCACACAGATGGAAAGGTAAACCTTGGCACCTTACAGGTGGTATTTCAAGCCCTGTTACCTGTATCTCATGTTAGGCCACAGCAAGTAATTTTTATGGATGACATCAGTGCACGCATTAATTTTTGCCTGATTTGAAGAAAAAAACAAGAAATTTTGTTGCCCTCTGACAGTGGTCACCATGTAACTATAAAGAGAGGAGATAAGAAAAGGCTCTGATTTATTGTTTTGTTTTTCACTTTGATGCTGCAGTGATATGTGATGCTGGCTGTGTATATGTGATGTTTCCACTGATTCAAAACCATTTGTACAATGATTGGGCCAAAATATGAAAATGTGGGAACCTTGTTTGTTCGGCCCGCCTTTTTTTTTGCCTGCTCGCATTAGATTTGGAGTCTTCAGAGGATGTCATCCATAAAATTTACTTGCTGTGGCCTTAGGCTAACAACCACCACAAAAATTATGATGATATGGTCACAACTAGTGGTCCAAACTGCTGCAGTACTGAAAGGAACAGTTAGGGGTCAAAAATCATAGTACAGTCAAACACGCCCAGGTGACCGAGGTAATGTGGTTCTCTTGGACAGCCAGTCTTGTTGGCACTTAATGCTTGTGCCTATGGAAAAAACTTGGGACCAGAAACAGTGGTTGTTATAACCAGTTGGCAAGCTTGAAGAGGTGGTCGCTTAGACAGGTTTGACTGTACCCAACAAGTCAAATGGTAAAACATATAATCAACTTTAAAAGTCAAATGCAAGTGTAAGTCAGTTTGTGTTGGATTGTTGGAACCTAGATTTTTTGGCATAGCGGAAATGACATCTCTTGGTTGTTGATGTGATGATCAGCTCAGCATCAGGACCACAGGAAGAGATGGTGACTGATGAATCAACAGGGAGGACCAGGAGGAGGGCAGTGTTTGAGGGGGAGGAGGGGGAAGAAGAGGAGGAGGAGGAGGAAGAAGAAGATGACAGTAGTGATGAGGAGAGAGATGATGAAGAAGAGGTTTGTGGATACTGATGACAATAGATTCAATATACAAGATGACTTGATAATAAAAAAAATTTACAATTAAAAATCAGAAATCCAGTATAAAGTAGAGTGCAGTTAGCCTCTACCAGGCTCCGCGGATCGCTGGAAAAATAGTAGAAATGGGCCGAAATAAAGGGAATAGTATACCAGAGAAGATCCAGGGCCATAGAAACTCCAATTTGCGACCCACGGAGCCTGTGCGGAGTCGCAAGCTTCTTTGAAGTTCACTAATCGCTATCTAATAGGTGCAAAGTGGTTAAGTACCCCTTTTATTGCTCTCCGACTCATCCGTGACGGACCTGACACGAGCTAGCCTCTACCAGGCTCCGCGGATCGCTGGAAAAATAGTAGAAATGGGCCGAAATAAAGGGAATAGTATACCAGAGAAGATCCAGGGCCATAGAAACTCCAATTTGCGACACGAGCGGCCATGTGACAGGAAGTGTCAGTGGTCACGAAGTTTTGAAGTTATAACGGTCTTGTCACGTCTTTTTCCTGACGCATTTTTTTGCCCTCTGACTTGTACTGGCGAACTTTCCTGACATTCTGTGGCCCTTTCCGTATTTTAGAGGTTATAACAATCCTCTATCGTAGTTTTCTGTGTTATTCTTTGTCCACAGCCGTACTTTTTGTGGCAGCTTTTTGTTTTACTTGTAAGATAAACAGTTATATAAACAGTCATCTGTCCTAAGTCAAAGTTATCTGTGCGGATTTCTGTCTGCTGCCGATGGCAGTCCGGGAACGAGTTCGCCGTGTGGCGAAGGACGTTTTTGGTTATGAAACTTTGCGGCAGGGTCAGGAGGACGCCGTGTTGGGGATTTTGGATGGGCACGATGTCTTCGTTGGACTGCCGACGAGGGCCGGTGTTCTGACATTCTGCTTTCAGGCCATACCGTCGTGCATCAACTCCCCCGAAGGAGATGCTTACCGTTTGCTACTAGGCGTGGCCCTCTGGTCCGCCATTGCCTAAAATGAGTCGCCCTTGCATCGAATAGTCAATGTTTGACACAAAATCAGCCGCAGAAAAAGAGAAAATGTCGATTCTTCTTTGTTTCTGTTTTTCGCGCCGGAGTAACCGCATCGTAACGAAACTATAGCGTAACGTGGAACCATATGGCATTTGCATCGCAAAAATAACCCAACTTCAGTACATTTCATCAACAGCAAGAAAAAGCCTCGGTCTTATGTCAGAAAAAAAACACAGATAATAGGAACATAATGTGAAAAAATATAATTTTCGTCGCGTTTTGCTGTCAGTCTCTATTTGACCTTTGTCCCAGACACAGCCACAGTGCACACACACCCGGCTGAGTTCCCGCTGGGCGCTGGCGGGTTTATGACTTGAATGATCTTCAGCGCTGATCAAGTTTCTTTGTACGAATAATAGGGGGATTAATTTTATATCGTTTGAAGCTTGCGACTCCGCACAGGCTCCGTGGGTCGCAAATTGGAGCTTCTATGGCCGGCTGGATCTTCTCTGGTATACTATTCCCTTTATTTCGGCCCATTTCTACTATTTTTCCAGCGATCCGCGGAGCCTGGTAGAGGCTACATGTATTTGACCCTTGTATGATTAGCCATCACAGTAAAAGGTATCAGAATAAAGAGAGAGATACAAAAACAGACATAAGTTGACCAGATTTCTACCCAACATACAGTTTGGCATCAGGCATTTTATCGTTTTAGCATCCTGGATTTCCTCAACTTTATTTTTTTCACAAAGTACAAGTACATGGTATGTTTGTCATCATTGTCATCAGTCCACAGTATATTCCCTTTTGTTAGCTTAATACAAGACGGAGTCTAGGTGATGTAAATCAGCATGTGGCTGATACGAGACAGGGGTTCTCCAGGCTCCTGTCTGGGTGATTTGAAGTGAATCACCAACTCCAGATACACTTAGTATTTATACCATCGTACACTGGGGCATGCCCCTACATGATTGTACTCTTTTTCAAAAGGTGTACGTGTGGTGGGTTCTTTAGGTGCGTGGGGTGTCCCATAAGTTTTTTTATTTTTTTATTTTTATTTACTTCATCGGTCACCACAAAACAAGGCTCATGGGAGCCACTTAAAATGTTTTGGGTACAGCCAGAGTGGACAGATGTTTGTTGACCTTAGGATCATAGGGGAAGCAATCACGAGGTAGCTTATTCCAAAGTGATGTTGTTCTTGGAAAGAAGCTTTCAGCATGGAACTTCCTCCTAAGAGGTGGTGAATGGAGGAAGAAAGGGTGATTTGCTTCGGTGGAAGTGGCAAGACGTGTCTTTGTTGAGAATTTTCAAGTGGGGGCACTAGCGAATGAAGTTCCACAGAGCATTTGCCGTGGAAGTAGCAATAAAATAACGGAAGGCTTGCAACGTTATGCCTATGTTACCTGTATTTTGACCACAGCCGGCAGCTGTTGGTGGAAGTAGTCTAGCCTCTCCTTGTATCGCCGGCGAGCCAACATTCCCCGCGTGTGCGCCTGCAGCTTGATGATGTCATCCTCGTGGGCTTCAAACTCCTCCTGACGGTCGTGTGCATTAGTCACATCATTCAGGGCGGCCTGGGGGGGACAGAAAACAGGCAAATGTCAGGCTTACTACATGTACCTAACCTAAACACAAACAACGAACAGAAACTGAAAATGTATAAACCAGCTTAAATTACAGGGCTCGTGAGTACGACTGGTTTGGTCGCACATGCGCCCAGAATTTTGACTGTGCGACTATATTTGAAATCATGCTTGCACGGTGCGCCAATCACAAATTCAGACCAACAAGAGGTTCTTTGGTTTGTAAAATTTATTAATACAGTGACTGTGCTTTGCTGATTGGCAAAATAATATAATTGGCACTGGTCGGTGCCTAGATTTTTGCTGTTGTGCCCAATTGTTTTGGACTGGGAGCACAGTGCTCATACAGTAAGTCAAAAAGTTAGTCAGTGGAGCCCTACACTAGGTTCTCCTCCAGTTCACATTGTCACACCGTTCAAATTCCTGTTTCAAAGTCCTTCTACAGCAACAGTTTCTCTTCCCAGGACTGCAAAATTATGGAACTCCCTCCCAAACACAAGCTTTCCTTCCGAATATAGTTTTCAAAATAAACATTTACCGCCATCTTTTGGCAAAGTCATACATGTGTACGTACGTGTTGTATCACCAGCTCAAAGCCTAGAAATGGTCATTTGGCTTTGCATTGAGCAACACTGTTAAAAAAAACCTTCTGGAAAACATGCTATTCCATTGCCATGTTTTAAATACACGATCATGAGCACAAACGAGCACAAACCCTAACAGTAAGAAATGAAATAAAACGTGAAAAGTACCAAGTTGATGAACCAGGCAAAGGAATGCTGGAGACTGAAGGATGGGACAGAAGAGAATGGAAAAATTATAGATAGAGAAATTCAATATAGATGTATAGAAAATATAAACAACATGTTTTTTTAAGATTGGAAAGAAGTCAGTTGTGGTATAATACAAAGGAAATAAATTCTTAAGACATTAGAAAAAGAGAGCAATTTTGTGCAGAAAAGTGAGCGAGCGACATTGTACTTTTAAAACTCACAGTAAATCATTACTAAATATTACAAAGACAGGCAGGTGCAGCAATTCCAGCCTTTTAAAGGTCATAATATATTGATGGTCTCAGTGACAGTACTTAGTAACTCTTTAATAATATCTGTTCCATAAACTTCCAATTATAACGCCCAGCCAAAAAACAGTTACTCAAGCAACTGGATATGATTTTGAAAACGTCAGACGTTTCAGCTAGTATCCACTAGCTTTCGTCAGTGACTGAGAGACCAGAGGGGACAGCAGGTTTATAAGTACAACCTGTTGATTGATATGCAAATAAAGTGAAGACAAATATTTTGGAAGTCGAAAAAGGAACAAAAGTCAGACAAGTCAAGACAATTTGATGCAAATTAGTCTGAAAGCTCCTGTTATACAGAACAGGAGCTTAAGTGTTGTCTGTTCTCGGGGCTGGGAGCGCCAAATCCCAAGTGCCGGAAAGATCGACTCGTAGCCCCCCTTCCCTGTTGAGGGTGGGGTTGTACATTCTTTCACATATTGCCTCTTTAACACCCCGTTCCCACCAGCGTGTTTCGCGGTCTAAGATATCCGTGGACTCGAGTTTGAAAGAGTGACCCTGGTTGTGTTGTAGATGGTGGAAAATAGCTGAGGAGTAGCCGTTGGAAAGAATGTACAACCCCACCCTCAACAGGGAAGGGGGGCTACGAGTCGATCTTTCCGGCACTTGGGATTTGGCGCTCCCAGCCCCGAGAACAGACAACACTTAAGCTCCTGTTCTGTATAACAGGAGCTTTCAGACTAATTTGCATCAATTTGTCTTGACTTGTCTGACTTTTGTTCCTTTTTTGACTTCCAAAAAATTTGTCTTCACTTTATTTGCATATCAATTAACAGGTTGTACTTATAAACCTGCTTTCCCCTCTGGTCACTGACGAAAGCTAGTGGATACTGTAGCTGAAACATCTGACGTTTTCAAAATCATATCCAGTTGCTTGAGTAACTGTTTTTTGGCGTATCGTATTACCTGGATGTCTAACCTTCATCGACGTTCCAATTATAACAGTTCTCCATATAGCCAAGATGAGCCAGTTATATAATAAGAGTCATGTACATGTACATCATGATCACAATGTCCTGTTATCTCTCAGGAAGTACCATATACTGACTATAATAACACAAACTCAGCTGAAGGACATATAGAATACAACACGGGGTATTCCTGACCACAGGCCGGAGGGCGATCCGACTCGCGGGAGGGCAGGGACAGAGGGCGATGCGAAATACACCGTGTTGTATTTTATTTATGTCATACCCACCCAATAAAAACACGCCTTTCAATGCAAGATGAGCCACTAAACCCTGAAATGCAACAACATCAATTCCAACGTCCGGATTCTGTATTCAAATTTTTGAAAGGGGCGCAGGCGGTTAGGGCGAAACGAGTTCGAATCATTTTATGGAAGCCATGGAAGCGTACAATAATGGATTTCGGACCGGGCCGTACCGTAAAGTTTGGACCGGTCCGGAACCCGTTATCGAACGTTATCGCTGCCCGGGTATGATATAAATGATAGTCCTAGTCACCTGTATCTCCTCCCTGGACAGGTGAGTCCTGCTGCTGCTGAAGCCATCAGGAGGGAGCCAGGATGACTCCATGGTCTCCAGGTTGAAGTAGTATCGGTGACCCTGCCTGGTCTTGTGCTCCACCCAGGGGCTGCCGCTGTCCTGTCCCTGCTCCAGTTTGGAGACCTTGGCCTGTTCCAGACTGGCCTGGTACTGCTGGGCGCACTCCGGCAACACGCGGTGCAGGAAGACGTCAGGGTTCTTCAGAGCCTCCAGGGTCTTGGCTGGGTCGGCGTCATCGATGGCCAGGTTTATACTGGCAATGCCAACAGCCACTGGAGGGGACAGAAGTGTTGGAATTATATTATATAATAATAAATTACTCTCGAAGCAGAGGTTTGGGTTTGGGGTTATTTTTAGCGTGTTTTTAGGCTTTTTTTATCAGGGTTTTTCTTTGCACTGAATTTTTTCCCCACCAAACCCAACCTTTGCTGGCAGTCGAAAGCATCAATGTGCTATAACCCTAATTACTTCAACACATTACAGTCGTTCTGCAAGGAGGTGCGAACCAGACGCATGAATAGGCACAGTCAGCAGGAGGCGTGTGGCCCAATGAATGCCTTTCTGACTGGCTAGATGTGTGATAATCCACCACAGTAAAATGGATATCCCTAATGATAATTTGATGGTTCCCGGGGAGGAGCACTGTCACGTTCCTTGAATAGGTTTGCCCCGCCCCAGGATGAGTGCCGGCAGAGGTTGGGTTGGGTGAGCAAAAGTGTTTATGAGTGATCTTTTACCATGACTTCTACTTTAATAGTTGTAATTACATGTCCTTTTCTCGTGTCAACATACTTTTATCCCCATTGTAGATTATTAGTAGAAATCCTTCAACTTTTTTAAATCCTGCGAATCTGATTTACCTCTGGCCTTAGTTTGTCAAGCAGCTACATGTACAAAAAAGTCATGTATATGGCAATATTTATCAATCAATAGTTTGTGCTAACTTATAAACCTGCATTTCTCCTCTGGTCTCTCAGTCACTGACGAAAGCTAGTGGATACTAGCTGAAACGCCTGACGTTTTCAAAATCATATCCAGTTGCTTGAGTACCGGTAACTGCTTTTTGGCATATATGGCAATATTGTTGCAATATTAAAAAGCTCACATTTCTCTGCCTCCACAGCTTGTCTGTTGGCAGTGTTGACTCCCTCCTGGATCTCCTCCAACCACAGGACTGCTGAGTCATCGTTTGTCTCCTGACAACACAGATACATACAACTTTTACAATACTGGACTGAACATAAGATTAATCAATGACCACCATTACTATACAATAATACACACAGAATGTTACTGAACCATTGCAGGAGAGGTAGTAATAACAGGCAGGGTGATATTGTAAATTATCATATGGCCAGTATATATAGCAGTCGACCAATCAGAAGGCTCTATTTCCCATGGGTTATCTGGCAATAACCTAAAAAGTGGACGGTTATTCAGATAATCGGCCACTTTTTGGACCATACCATTTTACGGGGGACAAGACACTAACAGTAGTGTAAAGACTCGTAGTATTTATCTATTAAAAAGCGTATTGTAATTCATTTTGAATATTTTTTTTAAATACAGCACAATTAAAAATGTATAAATAAAATTTGAACAGAAAAATACAAAACAAAATTTTTGACACCCACACTAAAAGTGGTACCTAGTTTTTCTGTCCATACCATCTTGTTTCACGTAACATAGTTTTTCGTAACATAGTTTTTTTCCTAACATACTTTTTTTTCACTTTTTTTTCGGCAAATTTTATAAAGAAATTTGGGTCAAATAGTATGATAGGCTATATGATAATAACATTAATGCCCTGCCTTATCCTCGGTGTATATGGTGAGATAATCCCTGGTCGGGTGCGATAACCACCGAATAAACCACCGAGTGAAACGAGTGTCATGAATTTGCAGTCAGGTAACGTTACTATGAAAATTAACACACCACAAAAGTTTCACCATTTACAATTACTAGTCTTTTGATTCATTCATCTCCTTGTAAGGCCACACCAAGTACATTTTATGGATGATGTCCTTTGGAGACCCTAAATCTGATGCGAGAGGGCGAAAAAAAAACAGGAAGGGCCCTAAAAAACAAAATGCCTAGATTAGAAATATACTAAGAGACGACAAATGTTAGGACACAAATTGAATGAGGTGACAGTGTAACAAGCAAGAAGTCTTTTAGGCCACACCAAGTAAATTTTATGGATGACATCCGCGCGCGCATTGATTTTGGCCTGTTCCTAGAAACAAGAAATTCCGCTTCCTATAACTACGACCAAAGAGTCACGACAGTGCCGCAAATCACCAGATTGATGTGAAACCCATAACGCAAAGGAAGTGTCTATTGACAGAACCATCAGTTCAATAACAGAAAATTTGCACTATTGACAGGACCATCCTGTCATTTTTCACTGTCCACTGTTCCACCTGATTTATTGCTGTTTTGATAATGAATAAGGCCACACCAAGTAAATTTTATGGATGATGTCCTTTGGAGACCCTAAATCTAATGCAAAAAAAAACAAGGAGGGCCCTAAAAAACAAGATTCCTAGATTAGAAATATACTAAGAGACGACAAATGTTAGGACACAAATTGAATGAGGTGACACAGTGTAACAAGCAAGAAGTCTTTTTTTCATCATCAAAACAGCAATAAATCGGTGGAACAGTGGACAGTGAAAAATGACAGGATGGTCCTGTCAATAGTGCAAATTTTCTGTTATTGACAGGATGGTTGTCAATAGACACTTCGTTTGCGTTACGGGTTTCACATCAATCTGGTGATTTGCGGCACTGTCGTGACTCTTTGGTCGTTGTTACAGGAAGCGGAATTTCTTGTTTTTTTTTCTCTTGGAACAGGCCAAAATCAATGCGCGCGCGGACGTCATCCATAAAATTTACTTGGTGTGGCCTAATTATCAGAGAACAAGTGTCCCTTCTCCCACCTCAGCCTTTGCCTTCTTCCCCTGCATGAGGATAGTCTGGTAGTGTACAGCCTGCCGAGGCTCCACGTCGGCAAGTTTGGCTGCCGGGATCTGCAGGGCTGCCAGCGTGGTCGCAGCGTCCCCTGCCTCAATGGCATCATTGATGGTTGCAATGGCCTCAATTCCTGCAGAATGACAAAAATACCCATGATGGCATCTGCAGTCTGCATTTTGGAGAGACATCTTCAGGGTATAGAATTTTCTTCTTACACAACCAGTAAGGTTTCTCACCTGCTTACGTTTCGATGTCTATCAGACACCTTCCTCAGAGCTTCTGACTGGAGTTCTGCAACTCGCCGCTATTTAACGCCAAAGTAGGTGGCGCTTTTGCGGCAAGAATGCAATCCCAAAACGTGGCTGAGAACTCCAGTCAGAAGCTCTGAGGAAGGTGTCTGATAGACATCGAAATGTAAGCAGGTGAGAAACCTTACTGGTTGTGTAAGAAGAAAATTCTATACCCTAAGTATCTTCCAACCTGATGAAATTATTTACGGAAATGACAGACATCTTCAATATTACAGAAGAGCTGCAATCTTGCAGACTGAAAAAATCAAATTCAATGGTGTCGGCATAATATTGTTCAAGACCTTTTATGTTGACTCGGCCTAGGAAGAAAAAGGTTGTGTTTCCTATTTTTTCGACCAGCCCTAGAAAAAACTGCTACCCCTTTTATTTGTGTGAACCCCTGCAAGGGACATACAGTATAATTCTCAAGCTGATGGGCCTTTTCTACATGTACCTCCATGATCTGACACCTGAGTGATGAAATGTTGTACATTCCATCGGTTTTTCCAACATTGACATTGAAAAAAAATGTCTTCAAGCAAGTTTTACTTCATTAAATCGTATAGTATCAGTTGGATCACTAGAGATTGCTTGTCTGAAAAAAGATAATCCCTACCTATTAACCCTAATTTTTTAAAGGACTGAAACAGGAAACACAACATGGTTTTCATAGGCCCTGACACATTTGTTTGTACAATGTACATTGTAAGTACTTACAGTTCTGACTACTAGAAAATATATATTATATAGAAGCAACTCTACCTAGAACTAAGTATTAGTGACACATTGCGATTCTCAGTACATACAATCATGTACTTCATGAATTTGAACATTTTGTTCCCTGTCACAACAATTTGAACAAATGTGCCTTTTGGGACAGAACAGTCTCACCCGCAGGTGTTGACTTACACTATCATGAAAGGTTATCTGTGTTGCTAGTTACATGTTTAAAGTTAAAACTTTTGATCCAACACAAAAAGTTCTCTCACCTAGAGCTTTGTTGACGTCACACTTCAAAGAAGACATGTGACAAGTCTCACTGGGTCAGTCTACTGAGGAAGACCAGAGTGACTGGTGGAAAGCTCTAGGTAAGAGAACGTTTTGTGTTGGACAAAAAGTTTAAAATTTAAACAGGTGTTGACTTACTGTCATGTTCCTCCTGCACCTCCTGGTTCACCTGGTCCACACAAGCTTGCACATCAGCCGGGTTCAGATAGTCTGTCCCCATCTAACAAAAAACAACAGCAACAACATCAGGTGTCAACAACTACAATCATTTTCGTGCATGAAACAAAGACTGCAAAGCGACTTGGAAATTTATGCAAAAGAAGAACAATAGTAATTGTAAATTGAAGGATAACATAAATAATAACCGGTAAGCAAAGCACTAAGTCCACACCAATTTGATTTGTTGGTTCTCAGATTTTTTTTCAGAAAAAATATGTAGCGACAGGGAAAAAAATAAATAAAAACAGGCCTAGGCATCCTATTTTAGACCAAAATGTATGATAGGTGCCATAAGGTCAACATACCAGGCTGGTTTAAAATTTAAACTATGACTTTTGAACTTTTAATGAAACCACTGATGAAAAAAAATGAAACAACTAGGAAGAAAAGGACTGTCCTCGAGTGTTCAGGGCAAAATATGACATACATGTACCCAGTGGAAGTACTCAGGTTTCAGAACACCGATGTTTCAGTGCCAGGGACAGGCATCATTGAGCATTTTTCAGTTGATTCTTAACCTGGTCCAGAGTCTTTTTCTTTGCAAATCAGAAAAAAAATGAAGTGGAGGAATCCGTGAACCACCAAATTAAAATGGTGTGGCCTAACTTCTAAAGACTGAGCTTTCTGTTGGTTAAAGGGTTAGGAGAAACATCCTTCATGCAGTAGTCTGTATGCAAGGGCTCTTCCATCAAAACCAGGCCGGGGGGGGGGGGGCAGTCATGGAAATGTCTGGATTCTCATCCCCTTCCCTTCAACCTTCTTTTAGGCCACACCAATTTAACTTGTTGCTTCTCATCGCCCTGTCCATTTTTTTCTGATTTGCAAAAAAAAAAATTTTTTTGTTCTAAATTAACTGCAAAATGCTTAATGAAAGACATATTTTGGCCCCAACGGTTGAAGAAAGTCCTTTTCTTCCTAGTTTTTCAATGTAATAAATAAATGCAATTTTGTTTCATTAAAAGTTCAAAATATATTGTTTTAATTGTAAACCAGCCTGGTATGTTCACTTCATGGCTCATATTGTAACATTTCATGGGGTGCCTTGGCCTGTTTGTTTTTTTGCCCTGTCGCTTCATATTTTTTCTGAAAAAATCCGAGAAACAACAAATTAAATTGGTGTGGCCTTAGCAAAAGTAAAATTTAATACAGTATTTCAACAGAATTTGTGTTGTTAGGGCTGCTCTTAACCTCTTCATTCTTTTTCTGCTGCTGCAGAAAATATATCTATCAGACACCCCCTGGAATGACTTAAATGGAATGGCCCTATAATTTCCTAAGCTTTGCTCCACCAAAATGCACTACATCTACATGTACTCTACTCAGGCCAGTTCCATGCAAACTATTAAGAAGTCGGCAAAGCATGTTCATGTTAGGACTTTCAACAGATTCTGCCTCTACTGTGAGCGTGCATGCTAACTACATGTCATATAAGCTTCGGTCACAACCCGCCGTACGTGCTTCTACGTGCTGTCTACGTCCAAAAACGTGGGCAAACGCAGGGCATCCATGCGTGGTGAGTACCGCCTCCGTACGGAATCTGACGGATTTGGGAGCACGCAGACACGCCATAGAATTTTAAGTGCATGTAAAACTTTTTCTGCATGTGGTCTACGGATTCACCACCCGTGCGTGCAAGTACGGGCGACGCACGTGCCCCGTACGTGCCGTGCTAAAGATGCACGTGTGAGTACGGCCTCCTTGCGGTAAAGTTGCAATCGCACAGAGATCGTACGTTGTAAGCACGTACAACTCACTTACCACTTGCGCAACATACAATGCACGCAACCGCTCACGGCCAGACGTGGCGTGCAGACCACACTCTTGCACTTTGTGAAACCGTGAAAGTGACGTGCGTCGATGCCACTCCTTCCCCACGTTTTCAGAAAAAACATAGCAGACGTCCCAAAAAATGTACGGACAAAAAGCACGTACGGCGGGTTGTGACCGAGGCTATAGCTATGGAATGTCTGACTACTGGACTGGTATGGTTTACTTACAGCAGCCTTGCTGCCAGGCTGCAGGGGTGAGAAACGTGGGACAAATTAAGTACAAACACATGTAAACTGGGATACAGCATCCACCATAGGTACGCTCAAAATTCCTCCATGTTTTGTAAATAACATACATGCAGATATGCTGGTATATCATTATGATAATTGATGAACATCCCGACAATCAGCCCTAAACAGCTGTGTAAAAAATTTGAACAAGGGTTTCAGACTCTAAAACTTCTTAGATGTCTTAAGTTACTGTTGTGATACAAATTTCAGGCCTACAGTACCAATGTAATATAAAAGAGAGACAATGTATGGCCAAGAAATCATATCAAAAATAGTTGAATACATACATGTAATGATTAATCTAACAAATGTCAATGTGACACAAAAACATATCTTTCAAAAACTTCATAATTTTGAGTAACTGTTTTTCATTTTCTTACACAAAAACAGACAATCAGTCAAACATTCAGTATAAATGCATAGGACTTAAACTAACCCTGGTAATAAACATGTACCGGGTATGTACTTACCATAGTTTTTGCCCCTTTTGCTTTGTTCAGTTTTTCTGTATAGCGATCCACGAGGTGTTCCTCCACGCCCGTGACACGAGCCTTGGGATTGGTCAGTGCGGTCAGTATGACCCTGGTGTCGCCGGCCTCCACCGCTCTGTTGATCCCCGAGATCGCAGACAGAACCTCCACAGCTCCATTCAGCTCCTCATACACCAGCCCCTCCTAGTGAGTAAGAGGAGAACTGCAGTCACAATCTTTGTAATTATGGTAAAATTTACACTAAGTGTATATGACTACAATGATCCTGACAAGAAATGCTACACTGTAGTTCTACAATTCCAATACCTACAACCGCTTCTCACTGGCAATCACTGTAAAAACTCTTCAGTCTACTTTTATCTTGTATGCAATATAGTTGGATTGTTTGTTTGTTTGTTTGTTTGTTTATTTAGGAAGCTCCATTAGTGATGATACATCGCTATTCTTCCTGGAGTCCTTTACATAAAATACATTAACTATTATTTACTGACACATTTAACTGCTATCAAGAAAACTTATCTTATCAACATCGTAAATTACACATTAAGCATCAATTAGTAGTAAATTACACATTAAGCATCAATTATTACATCAATCAATAATATTACACTATACATTTAACCAAAAAAACAACTATGCACTAAATGTCTGAGAGGTCAGAGGTCATGAAATTGCGAAGAATATATTCAAAGCGTTTACCACCAGGAGTTAATTGGTGTGTGTTTGTTTTTATGTGTTTTTGTCCAATTCCAGATTTTTCTTTAAACGTTCGTGGGTTTGAGGATCAAGAGCATAGCCTTTATCGAGTTAAAGCACAATAAAATATGTAGAGAACTAAACTATCATAGCTTCTATCTCTTTGAGAACCTTCAATTTGTATGTTGTCATCACACAGTTTCTGTTACAGATAGCGGGACTGCTTGTGCTGCTGAATAAATGAGTTATCAGTTTTCTGAACATAAAAAAAGGCATGTAATTGCAATTTTGCTGGTGCAATCTTTCATAATTGCTTGGGCTGATCGCTAATGGAAAATGCCCCAGGGAGTCAAATGTTGCCTGTTTCACTGGATGACTGATAGTCTCGGCTTAATCTGTAGTAGATTTGCAAGGGAGAACAGCCATATTTCTTATGTTGCTAGTTCATCCTATTTCTTATCATGCTACAATATTGGCCAGAAGCTACATCCATCCATCATAAGGGTCCTGCATAAAATAAACCATACATTGTGTAGGTTTCAGTAATTGTTACTGAGGCCATGCTGATTTGATTATATGGATGACATCCTCTGGGAAACCCAAAACTGATGCGAGTGTGTGAATAAAAGAACAAACTTGCCTTCAATATGAAATCTATGTGGTCAAGAAGGTTAAACAAATGACTAAACACACAGAGTATGGTATATGGCGAATAATAGACTCTTCATTTTCATTTCTTGACATTTTCTTCTTTTCCGTTGGAATTGATTTTAGCACTCTATGACATTAGTAATCGTTTTCCAATATTTCTTTTTGTAATTTATAACTGCTCATATATTTGCTCATTTTGCAGCTGCTTTGTACAACAAAGGACTATACCACATATCTGTAATAATTATTATTGATCTCTTTTGGACAATGTAGTACGTCATGCTTCAGTGAAAACAGAAAACAATGGATTGTCCACATGTATGTGGAAGGCACTGGCCTACTTACCACCTCCTCTTCATCCTTGATGCACCAACAACAATACAGGAAATAATGATTAACGACTTTATAGGTCTGACTTTTTTTACTCATAAATTGAACAAAGGAACATGATCATGTGAAGTGATTACAGTGGTTCCACCATAGATCACAGATCAGAATGTTTGACGTCGATGCCACAGCTACACATATACCTTTGACCACAGATCTCATGCTTTGTTATACTCTAAGATCTGTCTCATCAAGAATTGCTTGTGTTCATAATCTATAATGAATGAAAGACCTTTATTGTACGTTTGTGCTCTAACAAGCTAAGTACAGGTAATGGATAAACAGGGAAAGAAATATAGCAATGACACTTATATGTACATACTAATGTGATCTACTATTTACAGGTTCAGCTTCTCCCTTCTTGACGCAGTTAAAGATGTACGAACATATTGAGCTAATGATACATGGTTTGTCAAGTTTCATGAGGAATTTGAATTTTTCTATTCTGTCTAAATGTCTCAAGCTTGGGAACTTATCTATGACATAAGTATGCTTAGACAGGATTCAAATTTTCAAAGACCACTGTTGCCTTAGTTTCATCTGGATAATTAATGACCATTCACTTCTGAAAGTAAACTTTCGAGTTATGGTTAAAGACACGTGACCTTATTCGCACAAGACTTTACAGATACGTCATGTCAGCTATTGGTGTAATATAACATACCAGGGGGTTTACCATCTCAGACAAGATCGTTGGACTATAGAAACTATATAACATGCAATCCTCGCCTTCCAACACAAACAATTGGACGTCACAGAAGCAGTGGATTGCTCATTCCTTGACAAAGACTGATGTTGAACAGTCAAAAATCGAGTAAGTCCAATTCTTTGTGTTGCATGTTACAGTTTAAACTTACTATTGATGTGGACTCAAACACTTAAAACAATCTGTACCGAGTAGTAAGTAATGTACGCACCCCGTCCTTCTTGTTCTTGAGGTTGGTGAGTCCGGCAAGGTACAGTTGAACGCCGTGGTCCTCCACGGGTGGGAGCTGTGCGTCCGCACGTTTCAGCGCCGACATGAGTTCTGTGGAAGACCCGCTGTCTATCGCCATGTTAATGGCCTTGATGGCTTCATCACCTGTGTGAAGAAAAAACAGTTCCGTGTGCATGATTTCTGTTCCTAGCCTTTTTTGATCGACCGCTTCTAAGGTAATGAAATTAAAAAAAAAAAACCAAGAATCTGGAGATCTCATACCTCCATGAAATATATGAGTTTTTCTAAATGTTTTTACACAGTACAGAAAAAAATAACACAGGTTTTTGGTTTCAAACACACAGTAGCACCTTTGGCCTGGATATGGTCATGTAGGCTTTTCCCGAGGGAGAACCTCATTAATCAAACCGGGCAGGTGCTGCCTCCACCCCGCACATCTGTTTTCCCTGCCACCCCGCACATCTGTTTTCATGGAAGTTCTGCTGCAGTACCAAGGTCAGCCACAAGGAGGCCCATATTTGACCTTGACCTTTGGCTTCCTAAGAACTACCAGCATACCAAATATCACCACAATCTATAAAGGCGTTCTGAAGTTATGCTGACTAAAAATGTGCGGAAACACACACACACACACACACATTTTTTCTGCAGTTAAACTTAAACAATTAAAGGGGTGAAATATTTGTCCACAAGCAAATAGATGCACAGGTCCTTGAGACAGTCCTGATGCAACTTTCTTTTATTGATCATTGAAAATCCCTACCTATATACCTATCCTTTTTTCAGGACCGATACTGATACAACAGTAATTTTCCTGGGCCTAAGGCTAACACTTCACACAACTACAAGTACATGTACTGTTGTATCTATGCAACTAGACTGTAGCTTAACCTACGGTCACAACCCACCGTACGTGCTTCTGCATGGTGTCTACGTGCAAAAATGTGGGCAAACGTAGGGCATCCGTGCGTGGTGAGTACCGCCTCCGTACGGAATCCTACGGATTTGGGAGCACGCAGAAGGGCGTAGAACTTTAAGTGCATGTAAAACTTTTTCTACTGGTATGAGGATTCACCACCTGTGCGTGCGAGTACGGGCGACGCGCGTGCCCCGTACCTACCCTAAGAAAGACGCATGTGTGAGTACGGCCTCCATACGGTAAAGTTGCAATCGCACAGAGATCGTATGTTGTAAGCACGTACAACTCACCACTTGCGCAACGTAAGATGCACACAACCACTCACGGCCAGACTTGGCGTGCAGACCACATTTTTACACCTTGCGCAACCGTGCGAGTGACGTACGTCGATGCCACTCTTTCCCCACGTTTAAAAAAAAAACGTAGCAGACGTAGCCTCCCAAAATACGTACGGACAAAAAGCACGTACGGCGGGTTGTGACCGAGGCTTTAACTACTGATGTTAGAGTACTCACGTCTGGTCCTGGTGTCTGCAGCATTGTTAGCCTGTTCCACAGACCTGTGGATGTCATCTTTGTCCAACAACTATGAGGCAAAAGAACATGAAAAATGACTGAGGGGTCCATACTGTTTGTTTTCCTTTGTAGAATAGGCATCATGTTCGTAACAGTGGGCTCTGTACATACAGTAACATTCGTAAGATAATAGAATTTCAGAATGCTGTTAAGCGGTTGTTTGTGTACAATCATGCACATGTGTCATGTACATGATTGTATGTCTGTATGTATGTAGCAGTAGATTTTGAACAAGGTAACTGGTCTGTACGAAAGACCATAGGACATTAATTATAATTTTTTTGTGTGTGTGTATACTTAGAGTTTCTATGGGTATACTTAGAGTTTCTATGAGTACTTAGAGTTTCTATGGGTGCTTAGAGTTTCTATGAGTACTTAGAGTTTGTATGGGAACTTAGAGAAAATCTAACTATACCCATAGAAACTCTAAGTACTCATAGAGACTCGAAGTAACCATAGAAACTCAAAGTACACAATTGTACCTATGGTCTATCGTAGGTCTGGCAGCTAGTTTCTCTCTTTAAATTCTTCATGGAAAAATTTAAAAAAGCAGTTTCTTTTTAATTTAGGGCAGATCCATATATAATATTGTAAATCCAGGCTGTTCACTGTCAAAGCTAAGCTTTTTATATTCTTTTCAGCGACCCAGAGTTGCATGACTTGTAAGAAAATGCTGTCAACTCCAGACAGTTCAATTTGATACAACACACTTCAGTTAAGTAGCCATCATCATGGTAAACAGCAGGGAACATGTATATGGACCATGACTGGCTGCTCTACAGGCATTGATTAAGTGCTTGACTGTGTGATCATAAAGAAGCACAGGTTGCCAATAACAGCCTCCAGTTTAATTCTGGACAACCTCCCATATCTCAGCAACCTTAAAACCCAGATGGGCTAATATCACAAACCATAGGTAAAAATGATGTAAGAAATATAGCAGCAGTGGTCGAAATACTTTTTTTCAGTACTCTGCAATATTGCAGAAGAGTCAAAATTTTGTTCTGCAAATTGGAAATACTTTCTGCAAATACACAAGCCTCCATATTACAACCTTTCTGCAAATACACAAGCCTCCATATACTACAACCTTCTCAAACCAATAATTCCTTTTTTGCATCATATATAGCTTTGTAAATCTGTACAGTAGCATTACTGGACTGCAGGAGAATTTCAGGTTTATAAGCATAATGAAACGCCCAAGGAAAGGTGGCCCTGACTGACGATCTCAACTACTCTTGGTGCTGAAAGGCACGTCAAGTCGCAAGGAGCTTCTTAGCAGGTGAGCATCCAACCTCACGCTGTATGTTCAAGTATGGATTGATATGCAAATTAGTGAAGACAATTTTTTGGAAGTCCAAAAGGAAACAAAAGTTAGACAAGTCAAGACAAGGATGATGCAAATTAGTGAAGAAGTTCCTGTTGTTTCAGAACAGTCTGTCCCTGGAGCCTGGGAGTTTTAGTTTGCTAAATTGAAAACTAATGAATCTGGAGCCTATTTTTCCTTCTGCAAAATTGCAGATTGTATAATTTTTTCTTCTGCAATCTTGAAAATCTATCTGCAGATTGCAGACTGCAGGCAGGTATTTCGAACACTGAGCAGCTATTCGTGCCCCCCTGGGGGTTCGTCCAATTATGCATAATGATGCATAATTATGCATAGTTATGCATAATTACGCATAATTATGCATAATGATTTGAGGGGTTATGCATAATCATGCATAATGCTTAAGGGTTATAATGTATCCAAAAAAATTACGTAAAATAATTGGATGAATAATTGGGGGTCGCGAATAGCTGCTAAATATTTCTTACATCATTTTTACCTATGGTTTGCGATATTAGCCCATCTGGGTTTAAGGGATATGAGATATGGGAGGTTGTCTGGAATTAAACTGGAAGTCCGGAATTAAACTGGAGGCTGTTCAATGAAACCAATACTTTGAGCACACAAATCACTGTTGATGTTTTATAGGGCTTCATCTTTTTCAAAATCTTTTCAAAGTTCTGTTACAGTAGTCACTAAGAGAAAAGTCCTGAAAGGATCAAATCTGTGTCATTCTAACTATTGTTTTTACTAAGAATTGAGAGTACAAAACACAAACGTTCGTACAGACAGGGCCACAGACAGCACACATAGGTCGAATGGTAGAGCTCACCAAGAGAGAAATGCATGAACTGATACATGGAGTTTCTGGGACGCTTTCTGTCGAGGTTTCAGGTTCTGGTTGTGCCTCCTTCCAGAGTTACAGCATGGAGAAATGGGCCATGTAAGAGACAGGGACAGACAGAATAGCAACAGGCAGAACATGCATACATATCAGCAGCAAAGTAAGACATGCCAGCAATAGATGGATCTACAAGAAGTTAAACTTTTACAATTATATTGACCGTAAAAGATGTATAATAGGAAATACACATATGACAGGGCTCGAAATTCATTTTGGGAATAGGTGCACTGGTGCACCCAACCTGAAATATTAGGTGCACAGAAAATGTTTTAGGTGCACCAGACATTGTATAAAACAAAAATCTTACTGCAGATCTTACTGCTCCTCTTTTGAGCTTGCGTCTAAAATGGCAGCTAACTTCAAATCTAGTACTACGACAAAGGTTTTATTATTTTTCTGACACTTAGATGCCAAGAATATCCTGTATGTCTATTATTTATATTTCATCATCATCATCATCTGACATCCTCCGTAGAGGTGGAGCATACAAAGTTAGCTCACCAAAACTGTTTGTCATTATATTTACTATGTACAAAAATACCTACAGAAAAAAAAGGCTGCACAGCTCCAATTTTGGGTGCACTAAGGTGCACTTGCACTCAGTATTTCGAGCCCCGTATGAGTATCTCAGAAAAATGACAGGCATTTTAAGTTTCTACTATTATGAACATGAAAAGGATAGCAGCAATCAAGATATAGTTGCAGACTTGTTGTGCACAGGAACTCTTCAGTCACAATATGAAACATTACTCTGAAGGCCTACATGTAGTGCAGAAAACTACTAGTCTTGTTCTCTAATAATGCCATAGAAAAGAAGCATTATACAGAATTCAACAAAAGCAGGATGTTAACAACTTTACAGCCAATTAAAGGAGTTTAAAAAAGTCATCAGTGCTCTTGCTGTGAGACAGATCTACAATTATTATTATTTCATAAATAAAAAAAAACAATAGAAGAGATTAATGATTGATGAGTGTGGAAAGGATGACAGGTGAGCAAGTCGCAAAATTGGAGATAGAAAAGGAGAACATCCTTTTGAGGTTCAAGTCAACTATTGGTGATGACTAAAATTTTACACTAAATTCCAACCAGAAATCATCACAAGAAAGAGTAACTGATTCATTATTCTGCTTAGGCCATCACAATTTATTTGGTTGGTTCTCAAACATTTCAAAGTGATAACATAACAAGCACACATAAAAGTATAGCCTAAGTGTCAGCCTTTAGCTTTTGCCCACTCCCCATGATCTGCTATATACCGGTAGTGGTTTGTGGGGAGTGGACGAAAGCTAAAAAAGGCTGACACATAGGCTACTAAAAGTAGAGGGCAGGGAGGAAACCTTGAATGTGTCTGTGTATTCACTCCACAAAATGGAGAAGACTAAGGCCTATATCTGGTTTGCAAGCTTTGTTTTCACACTGTTTTTCAAGTATTGTAAAGAATATAAAATCTGCATGAGAACCAACAAATCAAGCTGATATGGCCTTCTACAGCAAAACCCCTCGCACTGGTAGAGCCAAAAATGTCAGTCGGGAATGCCAGTCGGGAGAACATTAAGTAGACATAGTTACTGAAAAACGACATCAAAATAACCCAAGATAGACATTTTATATCCATAGTCTCTTCAAATGTCAGGTAGGGACACCCCTAGGAGACAGTCCTTTGTTTAGCACAATGCGTACTTATAAAAATATTAGCGTCTGTCCATTAATTAATTTGGTCCCACCCTCTAAATTGCCTTGGCTTTGTGTAGCGCTTGCGAGTTTTCACAGTTTTTTCTTAAGACATTCTGACACAGACACTTTGTGAACAACGAAAAGCACAACAAGCAAGTCCTCCCCAAAAAGACAAAGTCCCTGGAAAGACATTCTTAGAAATGTTTGAAAAATGTCAAAAATTTTCGAGAATGTCCAATGTCCACTAGCTGTTTTATAGACATTTTCGGCTCTACCGGTGATCTCCATCTTTCTCCTGTTCCCAAGCCATCCTTTTCTTCCTTTCCCGGTCTGCCTATTTACCGGAAAACACCGAAAAACACATATAGGAGGCGTGAATCTACAGGAAAACACCGTGCATTGATGAGATAACAGCCCGAATTGCTGTATTATAAGATAACTTATATGTAGCCCAGGGAACAAGGAATCACTAAATAATGATCACTAAATAAGCAATCGACGGAGGCAACCCGGCCAGTCGCCATGTTTGTATAACGTTACATATCGTAACACAATATGTTTGTTTAGCGCGATCACAGAAGAGCAGTACTGTACTTAGATTAAAATTTACTGTATACTTCAACATTCCAATTTGCTGTATTTTGACCATAACATAACTTATATGTGGCCCAGGGAATAAGAAATCACCACAAAACGCGGCCATGTTTGTGGGGTGGGGTCGTGTGGCGCAACGGCAGTGTGTGCGACTCGGAATCTAGAGGTCCCGGGTTCGAGTCCTGACATGCCACCGATCTTGTGCCCTTGGGAAAGGCACTTTACACGACTTTCCCCACTAGACTCAAGTGAAAATGAGTATTGTCTGTCCAGTATTCGTTTCTATGTGCGGGACACAACACCAGCAACAGCTGCCTCTGTTCCGCATGTATTGTATTGTTGCAATTTCAATAAAATAAAATAAAATAAAATAAATAAATGTTTGCTTACATAGCGCATGGCCGGGTTGCCTCCGCCGATTGATTATCTAAGTGGTTTCTTGTTCCCTGGGCTACATATAAGTTATTCTAGGCCACAGCAAGTAATTTTTATGGATGACATCGATGCGCGCATTAATTTTCGTCTGATTTGGGACTCGAAAAAAACAAGAAATTTTGTTGCCTTCTGACAGTGGTCAACATGCCGAAAATGGGCAAAGATGTCTGTTGCCATACCGGAAGGTGGATGTCAGATATAACTATGAAGAGAGGAGACAAGAAAAGGCTCTGATTTGATGTTTTGTTTCTTAGTTGGATGGAGTGATATGTGATGCTGGCTGTATATATGTGATGTACCCACTGAATCAAAACCATTTGTACCATGATTGAGTCAAAATTTGAACTTGTAGGAACCTTGTTTTTTTTGGCCCGCCTTGTTTCCACCCCCCCCCCGCTCGCATTAGATTTGGAATCTGCGGAGGGTGTCATCCATAAAATTTACTTGCTGTGGCCTTATGACAAACTACGACGACTTGGGCTGTTATCTCATCAATGCAGGGTGTACAGTACAGATCGCGGGATAAGCATCATCGGGATTCGGGATTTTGCGGGATATCCCGCGGGAGTTTGCGGGATATCACGCGGGAGACTGCGGGATATCCCGCGGGAGTTTGCGGGATATCACGCAGGAGATTGCGGGATATCCCGCGGTATTCTTTCGGGAGGCCTGTCGTGTCCCGCGTACCGCGTAGCGAAAAAACTCGGTGCGAGACCCCGAAGTCTACCGCGGCTCGGAACGGCGATGGCGGCGTGCCAAATGTTTATTTTTACGTCCTGCCGGGCGATCTGTGCTGGGCCGATGGAGTCTGACGCCAGTCAACTTTGCTACAATTTTGCTACAATTTTAATGGTGTTGAAGGATAAGAATGTACGAAAATAATGTGTATAAGGTATTTCTCACGCGGTCATAGTTACTATAAAACTGCTACTTTTTTTTTCAAAGCTATTGTTCAGCGCAAACTTTAAGAAACTACCGTGAATGAATACAATGTAACGTGTAGTAATCCCTCCGTCTCCGGTAAATTCGGCAAGATTGTTACCAAGAAATAAAAATTATGAGGCGTACCGGCAGTAGTTTGTGGTTGTTGTGTTTCATAATCTTGTAGCTGTTGTCTTCTCATTGGTAGCTTGCGTCAAGAGGTCTCCGTATTAGTATTAAGAATTGCGACAATTAAAAGTCTGCCCATCAAAATCCCGGGGCGTGCGTCTCCCCCCTCCCCAAAAACTCTTGCATCAACAACGACCATGTCCATAATTAATTTCGATAGATTACTATCACCCTGAAAGCAAGGAGCAAGTACTTCCACACGGCTGGTAAAGTTTCTTTCGGTAGGAAAACATTCTACTTCTGTCAGCTGCGGGGTCAGCCAACTAGATGAAAACGGAGTCGATAGCGCACGTCCAAGACACGGGAGAACCCGAAAAATAAATAAACACGGGAGAACCCGAACTAAACGTGTTTATGATAAATTTTACGCAAATTAATTCGTTCTCAGACCATAAAACTTGAAATTCATTCGGTACACTCTATGGAACTAGCCTCCTCACATGTGAAAAACGTTGTTTTGGGATGAAATTGGGATATAAGAAAATTACAATGTCGCATGCCGGGCGGAAAAAGAAGCTACAATACGACGTATAACAATCGACAGGCGGTGTTTCTGTGGGGCGGTGCATCTGACTCAACTCTTTGAATTCGCGGGCCGGCTGGTGGGCGGGTCCCCATCTGCGCGCTGTGATTGGCGCGCCAGAACGCCACGTGGTCAGTCGGCGCCGGGGAGTCTGCCAGCGCCGCCGCCGCTGCTGGCGACGTGCGGTTTCTATGGCGACGCGGCGTGGGAACGCCCGGCCCAACACTGGGGGTCTGCATGCCCTTTTTCGTAAGGCGTAATCAGGCGTTTTTTTATTCATTGTCTTCGTAAACCGAAGGCAACCTTCCCAAAAATCAACGTACTTCGTAATCAGTACATTAGCCGCAAAGCGTAAAAGTCGTAATCAGCTAGTATGAAACTTTAACTTTATAGCGAAAATTCTGCGTAATTCGTAATCACTAACCCCCATGCAGGCCCTGAACACTGCGTGGCGCACGAAATGTATCAAAGTTTGAGGCGTAAAGAACTCTTGAATTATGCTTCGCCCCATTGTTTTACACAATGTTTAATCTCTCTTCCGTAACTCCATACGTCAACCTCCCCTATCTAGGAGAAAAATAAAGAACTCGAGTGGCGATTTGGCACGTCGATGCGTTAGATTTTTTAAAAATTATATCTGAAATAGCGCAGGTCGGGTGACATCAAAATAAAGCCGTCCACGTCGCAAGGCCGGACACAAAACTTGTTCAAGAAGGTTGTATTACTTTGTTATCGTTCTGTACCTTATTAAGCCACCAGATTTCCGATATTAAAAAAAAGAAATGTTTGGTTAAAAATACTATTTGCTCTACTGTTATTTGCATGCATTGAAAACATACTAAAACATGCACGCATCGTCTGCGTAAAAATCTGTAGTCAACGCGGTTCAACTTCAAGTAACAGCGGCGCCGGCCCTTCGGAAACCTAAGGTCTCACACCGAAGATCGGGGTTGCGGGAGAGGATTTCGTACCGCGGGATATCCCGATAAATCCCGCAGGAGATCCCGCAAACTCCCGCAGGAGATCCCACAAACTCCCGCGGAAGATCCCGCAAACTCCCGCGTGATATCCCGCAAACTCCCGCGGGATCTCCCGCGGGACTTGATGCTTATCCCGAGATCTGTACTGTATTCCGGTAGTTTCAAGCCTCCTATATTTGTTTTCCGGTCCTATCCCTGATAACCCTGTGTGCTGTAACTCTAAGTAACAGTGAGTCCTGACCTGTCCTTTCTCCTGTCTGAGTCGCGACAGTTCGTCCAGGTACCAGGTGGCGTTGTCCTTCTTGATGGCGGCGAGTCCGAGCCCCGGAGCCTGCAGGGCCTCGATCAGCGCCATCTCATCGCCAGCGTCCAGCGCCGCGTTCACCTTGTCTACCCCCGCTCTCACTGGGACAACACACATCAACAAACATAACATAACAATCCTCACTGCCCGAAGTTGTCACTGGTACACCCTAAGGATCGACCTCACAAGGGCACCAAGGCGAATGTTATTTACATACTCAAATGTGATGAGGAGCCCAATTGTAATAACACATACATCGGAGAGACAAGCTTAAAGTAAGGTACAAGGAACATTGCAGACCTATATAGTGCTAACGGCTACTCCTCAGCTATTTTCCACCACCTACAACACAACCAGGATCACTCTTTCAAACTCGAATCCACGGATATCTTAGACCGCGAAAAACGCTGGTGGGAACGGGGTGTTAAAGAGGCAATATATGAAAGAATGTACAACCCCACCCTCAACAGGGAAGGGGGGCTACGGGTAGATCTCTCCGGCACTTGTTTTTGGCGCTCACAGAACAGACAACACTTAAGCTCCTGTTCTGCACAATAGGAGCATTGTGACTAACTTGCATCATCTTGTCTTGACTGGTCTAACTTTTGTTTCTTTCTGGACTTCACTTATTTGCATATAATCAAGTTCGTGCTTATAACCCCGCATTTTCCCTCTGGTCTCTCAGTCACTGACGAAAGGATACTAGCTGATACGTCTGACCGTTTCCAAAATCATATCCAGCTGCTTGAGTGACTGCTTTTTGGCCTGGCGAATCTGTTCTTATGAACGTAATTTTTGTTCCTAAATACAAGAGGAGAGATCCTTACAGTTGACCTGGTTGACATTCCCCTGGATCTCAGCCTGTGTCAGCAGACGGTCGTAGATATCCTGGTCTGCTTCACTAACCTCCTCTCTCTCTGCCTGCACCATCCGCCACAAAAATACATTTAGTCTGAGCATTTGACATTAGCTTTTCCTTTACGATTTGGTCATCACAATGTATATTAAGAGGAATTAGATGGGGAAGGCCAGATTACAGATTAACATTACTAAACATTTATGTCTTCAACATTGTTTTTTTATTCTAATTAGGCCATGTTGATTTTATTACAATGGATGACATCCACACATGCATGAATTTTTGTCTCTTTCCAAAAAGAGTCTTGCATCTGTTTTAAGGTACTTCCCAGACTGAGAGGATATCATCCAATGGATATGGCATAATCAAATCAACATGGCCTTACACAGTATGGAGCGTAATCACAGGTTTCAAGGTCACAAGAATACAAAATTTGAAAACTATTCACTGCTCCTATGTGTATTGGATATATTGTTTATAGGTTGTGAGATAGTACCTTTTTAAGATGCCCTGTGCACCATAATACAGACCTCATCAAAACTCATTGCATTATCCCTTCACCGCATTGTTATATGCTCATAACAGTTCCAACCAGTGCTCTAGCTAGCCTGAAATATTTTCTCTTTGTTTCAATTTTGTAACGTAACATCTAGTCAAGCGCCGGATGACAATCCTAGAGCGGTCTTGGGGCATGCTCCCCCAGGACAATTTTCAAATCCTCACCCTCTGAAATGCTATTTCCTGCATTTTGAGGGGCAAAATTTGTCCGCTTTGACTAGTATGAGCGGCAAAATTCCTACAAATGACAGAAACATGTACACTGGCTAGAACACTGGTTCTAACAATCACCTGACAGTAGTGGTGCATACCTAAACCCACATTTAGGTTCAAGTTTGGATTCAAGTCCACTGAGGTTTAGGTTCAGTTCCGGACATGTAAGTCCGGACCTAAACCCATGGCATATACAAAATTGCATGTTGGCAACCTTGCAATGTTGTCTGGGTGAAACTTTGGCCACATAACATGGAGCCACTTGACGATGCCTGATGGCAATGTTTTCTTCCTTTTGCAGCATAAGATTTTGCAATCTACGGAAGGCTTTAGGTGCTTTGGAAAGAAAAGGGGTATGTGAAATGGTCTTTTATGGTAATAAGACCGGACTCGGTTCTTGACTTTTAGGTTTTTCTGGACTTGAACCTAAACATTCTTACAAGACCGGATCCAAGTCCAGTGAACCGGTATGCAGCACTACCTGACAGTATAGTATAATGATGACTTTCTAGATGAAATGTGGTTAATGCTGTTATCATGCATTATTCATCAGCATGCAGGTTAGACCACCGTGCGTTAACCACAAAAATTGAGAGTGATTTCCAGGGGGAAGTGCAGTTATTGTTGACATACCACATTCATATTTGCACTTCTCTGAGGTCGTTACGCAAGCAGCATCGCAAAAAAAGTTGGAGAGACATTCACAGAAGTTAGTCGTCAACATGCTTAATAATAAGTAATATGCAACACGTTCTTGGCAAGACAATGACATAACACTAGTACATTCCATACTAAAACACATCTAAAAATATCTTCTACTAAACATAAAGGATTAACAATATCTACTCTTACATCTGAACATTTTGAATATGATTATTATGGTCTTTACACAACATTCTGTACTCATCAAAACATCATCAAGCAAATTCAAACAAACTGAATATATTATGAACACAGATATGAATAAACATTCCAAAACATCGTGTAAAAAGTTGAAGGGAAAGAGTGAGGAAAAAAACAGCAAATAGAAGTTAGAATACATCCCAGGCATGCAGTAGTGTCTCATACCTGTGCTGCTGCCTTCTCTTCCTTGGCTGTCTTCATGGTGTGGAGTTGTTCCTGATAGCTGTTGGCCAGGTGGTCCTGGACCTGCTTCATGCGAGCGGCGGGGTTCTGTAGCGCGGTCAGCGTGTCCGCGGGAACCCGTTTCTCAATGGCATCATTGATGGCGATGATGGCTGCATGTACTACATGTATGACAAACAACATTGTGTCCAGACTGCCCAATGTTACAGTCACTGTGATAGCAGAACGTACTGCACCTGTGCAAAACCCGTAATGTATTCTGCATATAGTACTTCGGCAGAATGTCTCATATAACTATCATAAGGTCTTATGTCATACCCGGGCCGCAATAACCTTTCGATAACGGGTTCCGGACCGGGCAGTACTTTACGGTACGGCCCGGGCTTCATGGCTTCCATAGAATGATTCGAACGCATTTTGCCCTAACCGTGTGCACCGCTTTCGAAAATTTGAATACAGAATCCAAACGTTGGGACTGAATCGAATGTTGTTGCATTTGAGGGTTTAGGGGCACCAACTTTTGGCTCATCTTGCATTGAAAGGCGCGTTTTCTTGGGTGGGTATGACATAAATAAAATACAACACGGTGTATCCCACATCACCCTCGTTCCCGGCCCTCCTGTGAGTCGGGTTGATACCTCGGGCGATATCGATACGGAATACCCCGTGTTGTATTCTATATATATATTCGCGCATATAAGGTTAACATCCCGTCTGTAGTTTCTAAATGTTGTGTTGGAAAAGATGTTGTCTGCAATGGGCAAAATTCTGATGCAACATTGACCAAAAATCCAAAGAAAACTGAAAAATTAGGGTTTCACGCAGGCGCAGTACGTTTGGCCAATGTGCTAAGTAATACTGTAGTTCGTATCAATATACACAATCAACATCATACATGTACATGTAGACCTAGAATAAGTGTAGGACTGGTATTTACCACATCAAAACATACGACAAAATAGTTGATATAAACCCAATCATTGTTAGTATGTGCACAGTGAACACATGATAATTTATTATACATTAATACATATATGAACTATAAATGTCCTTGTGAAAATCAGTACTCTGGTATCATCCTGATAAAATTTTTTCATAAGGCTATTGTGAATATATGGTAAAAGTCACATTGTTCATACATGTAAAAGTATACATGTATATGGTAAAATTGGTAAAGTGTTAGCTTTTCTTAATATGTCACATTCTATTTTGAATGCTTAACAGAACAATCAAAATCCACTTTACATCCAGCAATAAATAAGTTAATTTGCATAGATTTTCTACGTGCAAAAAGACTCAAACTCTACACCATAAATTTAAAGCTTAACCATTGATTGATCTTGTGAAACTTGTTCAAAGAACAGCCTCCAGTTTAATTCCGGACAACCTCCCATATCTCAGCAACCTTAAACCCAGATGGGCTAATATCACAAACCATAGGCAAAAATGATGTAAGAAATATGTAGCAGCTATTCGCGACCCCCAATTACTCGTCCAATTATTTTATGTATTATAACCCTTAAGCATTATGCATGATTATGCATAACCCCTCAAAGCATTCTGCATAATTATGCGTAATTATGCATAACTATGCATAATTATGCATAATTGGACGAACCCCCAGGGGGTCGCGAATAGCTGCTACATATTTCTTACATCATTTTTACCTATGGTTTGCAATATTAGCCCATCTGGGTTTAAGGGATATGAGATACGGGAGGTTGTCCGGAATTAAACTGGAAGTCCGGAATTAAACTGGCTGTTAAATGGTTTTATGACAGAATGATACACAAGTCTTGTAAGTGTATAAGTTAACAAGGTTGATATTGTTGACAATGAGGAAATAGGATGTAACTTGAATGTTAGTACATGACGTGTTAAAATATGAGGCACACTTACATGCAGCATCATCCTCAGATAACTGCAAGACAAGATCAAAACAGTTAACAACAACAAATATGTAATATACATGTACGTGTACAAGTGCAATCAACAACTTGAGTCAAACCATAGGAGGGCTCGAAATCCCACCTGCATTATAATTAGTGCAGGTATTAACTTACAGCTGTGCATGTATTTTTGATGTCCACCTGCACCAATCCATGTGATGGGTTATAATAATTATTATTGTACATGTTGTGTTTGTTAACTTTTATTTGCTGCATAGACTTTTGACACCTATGACTTATAAGAGATATTATGGCAATAAAGTCGAAACTTCCTTAAGGCCACACCAATTTAATTTCTTGGTTAACGGATTTGCCCGCTTCATTTTTTTCTGATTTGCATTTAGAAATAAAAATCCAGAATCAACTTCAAAATGCTCATATTTTGCCCTGAACAGTTGAAAACAGTCCTTTTCTTCCTAATTGTTACAGTTATTCCATCTTTTGATGTAGTGGTATCATAAGAAGTTCAAAATTCATTGTTTAAATTTTGAACCAGCCTGGTGTGTTGACTTCATGGCTCCTATCGTACCATTTTGGGCCATAATAGGATGCCTAGGCCTTTTTTTATTTTTTTTCGCCCGCCTGTTCTGTTATTTTTCTAGAAAAATCCGTTAACCAAGAAATTAAATTGGTGTGGCCTAATCCTGAATGGTGCAAATAAAACTTGTATGGTGCAGATGACTCCCATGCTACCTGCACCAGTGCAAAAACATTTAGAGCCCTGCATGTGTGATGGCAGCAACTCACTATTACATAGTTACAGACATGTCACAAAAAAAAGGGATACATTTGTGCAGTCACAAATATTGATTAAGAATAGAACATATATTTCCCCAGAGTGCTATCTATATACTGATGGAATATTACACAACAGATGGCAGGACACTGCACGGGAACTTTCATATTCAATCATTACATTATTGCAATCTACACTGCCTGGATTTCTCTTCTGAATAATCATTTACCAGCATATATTATTTACAGGTATATTCTATAATTATGTTTTATAAAATGAAGCCAGCATGTTACATGATTCACAGCACTACATGTATACACATTGTCAAGGAAACAGTTACACAAGAAACTGTCCAGTTGCTTGAGTAACTGCTTTCTTGTATAACTTTCATGTGTATCACAAGTGTACTTTCCAAGTGTACTTACTATTTAGGCCACACCAATTTAATTTGTTGCTTCTCGGAACGCCCTGTCCATTTCTTTCTGATTTGCAAAAAAAAAAAAAATTTTTTTTTGTTCTAAATTAACTGAAAAATGCTTAATGAAAGACATATTTTGGCCCCAATGGTTGAAGAAAGTCCTTTTCTTCCTAGTTTTTCAATGTAATAATGCAATTTTGTTTCATTAAAAGTTCAAAATATATTGTTTTAATTGTAAACCAGCCTGGTATGTTCACTTCATGGCTCATATTGTAACATTTCCGGCTATCATGGGGTGCCTTGGTCTGTTTTTTTTTCCGTCGCTTCACATTTTTTGTGAAAAAAAGCAAGAAACAACACATTAAATTGGTGTGGCCTTAGGGAGAAGAAATAAGACTGTCTAAGATAATTTAATTAATTATACCTCATTGGCCAGGATTCCACCAATCTTGCTGAAAGCCGGCATCTGGATTCCGTACTTTTCCAGCGCCTTCCTCATAGCTGTGATCTCCTCCTCTGAGAATGGGAGAGGAAGGACAAGTCAGTACAACTTCCTTCAACCTCAATATCCTTTGTCACATGTAGATATGATACTTTTATAATGTACCTTTCACTGTTTCATTTGTTTATAGTGTTGACTAAATTTGAAGTTCCTCGGAAAGTCCTAATATGACTAAGTTCAAGACTGCTGTAAACAGATTCTTGTTGAACTCTTAGAGATTTTCTACTTTATGACAATTAATTATGTACCAAGCAATTATGTATAATGTATTTGATAGTTTGGGATGAGATGTGCTGTGTACTTAAGTGAGGGGAACTGATGTGACATTATTTTGAACCGAAAATCATCGATATACGATGTTAAGATCAGGTTCACTTTGCACTGATTAGAAAAAAAAAAGTATATTTGAAATGTATTTGTTGGAAAAATTCAATGTTATTGAATGAATGAATAACTTTATTGCTGGACAGTTGTACATGGTACAACGTATGGCAACAATGACAATGTGATCAATACAGTAAATCTATTCTAAGAAACTAAGTATTAATTGACTGCAGTTTTGTAACCTGCCACTAGGGGGCATCACACATATTACCCAAACAGTAGATGCAAGGCACATGATTTGCACATCCTTGTGAGATGACAGCATCTTGTTCTAACAGGGAGATGTGTCTACAGCTTGTACAGCACTCCGTGGCATGCTGCTGTGAAAGCCAGAGCAGTTGATCTAACATGACAGTTTGGGGCTGGGTAGCAGGCTGATATCATTAACAATGCTGACATCCAAAGCACACTTTCCCAATTACAGTAAGTAGGCCACACAGGGTCATAACCTGGTTTTGTTGGTAAAGGCGTAAGATCTGATAGCCTTTTAGAAACTGTAAGGGCAGTGGGTTCTTACCCACTGTTTTAGTACTATCTTGCTAAAAAATCTTGCTCATTTTGCTCAAACAAAAATATCACTAACATAAGAAACATACAAGAGGATCAACACTTTTGATTCCTTGCATTGCTTTCAAAAAAGTTTAAGTGTCAATTTCAAATGGTGTACATTTGTATCGTTTGATTTTAATCAAACTAGACATATTCCATAGTAATGTTATATGACTTGTTGCATGTACGACAAAGTACTAATAATTGGTACTGTAACATTTTCCCTGACAAACAATATATAGACCTAGGTTTGCCCAATCAATGAGGTTTCAAAAATGTCAAAGGCCTTTCCAGAATGTTGCGTAGGCTGGAGGACCCTTGGGAAACAGCATGCTTCCCGTATCAGCGGCTGTTTGAAGCAGGCTGTACCGGTAACAACTGCATCCACGGGGCTTAATTAGTCTCCTTCAAAAATGAACAAGATTGAATAAACAACCTTTCGGCAGCCTCTCCTGCGAAGGGCTCCAGTGAGCAGATATTATTACGTCTCATTTCTAAATAATTCTGGTTTCTTTTGCAAGGAAAAGGAGCTACATGTTATATCACAGGAGCTATACTCTTCATTCTTTCATTACAGGATCTGATATTCTGTAATGAAACTTACAGTACCGTTCGCGTTATAGTTAACCGGGTACCCCGTTACTAACGAGTTAGATTTTCGTCAGAAAATGGTTGGAAAATCGTCAGTATTTGATTAGATTTTCGTCAGAAAATGGTTAGAAAATCGTCAGAAATTATTTCTAACGCGTTACCGTTTGCGTTAATGTGATAGGGTCGGATTTCATGTTTGTTTTGCGCGCCGACAAGACAATAGCAATTTGCCACCTCCTGGGGCGTCCGCTAATGTGTTGCGATGTTGCCCCTTGAAAAATAACAGCACCAGAGGCAAGTGGACATGTGATTCGTAAAATAACTTTGTGGTTTATCCATGTGTCGACTGTGTGAAGCGAATTGTGCTATCTTTTAATGCTATTCTATAGTTATTTCTAGCGGAAAATTACGTTGTGTAATACAATGTATGTCAACAAAGTGTAGCAGTGGGCAGACGATGTCTTGTACATTTTGTACCAGCGGCGGCCTACCGCTCTCACAGGACGTCATGGGACGTGACAAAACAAGAAATGTCTGCCGTAGAAGAAATATAAATCGGTAACTCATGCCTTAAATTCACGGCGGTTTTTGACACAAAAGAAAAATTATTATAATTTTTGTAAGGCGCGCGGCTTACTAGTACTAGCGGCTTTAATACTCACGGTAAAATGTACCGTCACTCCCGGCGCAAGGACTCGGTTCGCCAGCTGAGGACTTTCCACAACCATGATGATATCATAGTTAATAAAGGAATATATAATAGATCTATCATGTTGAAATGATAATTGTAATACATGGTTCTATTTAATAGCAGTAGTTTTGTTTCTTATTTTGAGGGGGAAACTGTCAAAAATCGAGGGAAAGCAAACTGAGATCGGCTCACTTCCGGGTGCATAACGCCAAAAATTCTCGACGATTATATAAAAATGACCACTCATTTGCCGCCTACGGTAGCGTGTACATGGTAGTGCGATCATATCGTGCCAAAGTCAGCGTCAAACGTCAGAAAATCCCCGTAAAAATATAGTTGCAAAACACATTTCCCGCGCACTCAGGGCCGGTCGCCCTGGCCGTGGCCGCCCTGTGTGCAGCATGCTCATTATAATATGCAAGTAGCTACGCTCTGATTGGTTCACCTTAGATGACCTGCGCTGTGATTGGCTAGAACGAAGCCCGTTGCATGCTGGGGCGCCCTTCCCCGCGAAATGCAGACAGCTGGATCTCGAGAGAGCCACATTTACGCTGGTTTCTACCTTATTTCTACGACTAATTAGCAACATCCTAGTGACGAATTGCGTACTCAAAAGAATTTTCGGGAAAAAAATATATGTACATGTGGATTTGTGGTGCCTTTGGCGTAATTTTGTTGGTCACATACAACGTAATGTAACACGGAAGTGCATGGAGTCGGAGTCGCGGCACGGCTTTCCGTCCCACTCTAAACAAAACTCCAAGGACATAACAAAACTCCCCAAAACTGGTCAATAATTAGCCATAAAAATGTTGGTGGGCACGTGTAAATATGCTGCCTTTTTTCGAGTGTTATAGGAATTTTCCGCGATGTTTTTGCACATCCCTAACGTTACCTCACGCCCGCCGCCTATTATGTACGGCGGACCGGGGCATTTATAACTTCAGATCATCTAGGTTTGCTTATTCGGTGGTAAAATAAGTTAGGCCACAACAATTTAATTTCTTGGTTAACGGATTTTTCTCGAAAAATAATGGAGCGGGCGGGCGAAAAAAAAATAAAAATAAAAACAGGCCTAGGCATCCTATTATGGCCCAAAATGGTACGGTAGGAGCCATGAAGTCAACACACCAGGCTGGTTCAAAATTTTGACTTTTAATGATATCATTGCATTGAAAGATGGAATGACTTTAACATGTAGTATGAAAAGAACTGTTTTCAACTGTTCACGGCAAAATATGAGCATTTTGCAGTTGATTCTGAATTTTTATTTTTATTTGCAAATCAGAAAAAAATGAAGCGGCGAATCCGTTAACCAAGAAAATAAATTGGTGTGGCCTTAACAGAGAAAAACAGCAAAACAAAGTTGACAAACTATAGAAACGCTTGCCTGGGCAACAGTGACAAAAGAAAATGTCTATCTAATTGAATTGCGCCGGTGATCGTAAAACGTTACAATATAGTAAAATGCAGGCTAGATCAACGTTCCTTCCGCTGTTCCAGCGGTGTGTGTCGGTAATTTCCCGCCCCGCATGAGGTAAATTAGTACTCCTCCCATTATTCTGTGATGTTACCGCGGCCTGCATATGAATGCAGAAGTCTAACGGAAAAGTAACGGAAAACTTACGCAAAAGTAACGGCAAACTTACGGAAAAGTAACGGAAAAGAAACGCGTTAGTAACGGCCGTTAGGGTAACTATAACGCGAACGGTACTGTACGTCATACCTGGGCACTGATAGTGATTGATACGGATGTTCCAGCCTATACTGGCCACATCACACAAGCTTTCAAACGTTCTATAGAATAATTGCAACAATGCACCACTTTTGCAAGATTCGGATGTTGGCATTGATGTTGTTGTAATTTTTGTTTGGTGGCCCCAAAGTTTCCCAATTTTGGGCAAATTTTGTGTTGAAATGTGTGTTTTCTTAGGTGATGTGTATTTTGCACCACCCTCGGTCCCAGACCTCTCGCAGGTCAGATCTCTGTTCGGGCTGGAACCTTGGGTGATGTGGTCAATACACTGGGTTGTATTTTACATGTATAACATGTATTTATGCACATATGATTCAAGAATATATTGTACAATGCATTTTCAACACAAAATAGTAGTCCTGTCCTTTTTTTCCAAAGAATGCACGAATGTTGAAAACTGAGGGTACAACTGTTTACATGTTGGTTCTGGACTAATATTGACTACACTCACCGGTAAAGTTGACCTTCCCATACAGATCCTGTATCTGTGGTGCAATGCCAAGCTTGAACAGGAAAAGGCTGAAAACAAAACAAACTCAAAAGTTAATACTGGCTGACTTACATGCACAAAAGGAAAGTATACAATATACTTGGCCATGTTGATTTGATTATATTGTGGATGACATCCGCGCGCGCATGAATTTTCGGCCGTTTCCAAAAAAAAAAAGTTTTCAACCACACTGTAAATCGTACAAAACAGTTGCAAAATGAGCAAAAATATACCATAACTTACAAAAAAAATTAATAAAAACTATACCAATGTCGTAGAATGCCAAAATCGAACGAAAAAAGACGAAATTGTAAAGAAATGAACTTGAAGACTAGATTATTCGCCAAACCATATTCTGTGCCATTTGCTCAACACTCATGACCAGGTAGATTTCATAATGAAAACAATTTTTTTTTTTGCAAAACTTTTTTTTTATTCACACGCACGCATCAGTTTTGGGGCTCCCGGAGGATGTCATCCATATAATCAAATCAGCATGGCCTTACTTGAAATATTGCATTTCTCCAAACTTGATCACTGATCAACAGTCAGCACATCTGGTGACCAATTACTGCAGGCTTCTCTCGTCTGTTGTTTGATTAAAGTGACAATGACTATACGAGCGATCACCATGTCACAGCCAGCAAGTGGTAGGCAAAAAGAAGGTGACAGTTGGCTGATTTGCCTACCAATAATTTGCATATGTCTTCAAATAATTTGCATGTAACCAGTATGATGTAAACAAAAACAGTGATCGCTCGTATTGTTCCAAATGGTTTTCGTGATATTAGAAACACGATCTCATTTTAATTTTCATTTCACATCAATAAATCACTCTTTAGGCTCTATCAACAGTCTGGAAAGTCTATATTTTCAATCCAACTGCCATATTAGGACATGAAGGAGATTGTGAACACTTTGAGTGTCAGGAAAAACAATAAGACAGCTACCAGGGGACTATGTATGACTCATGTTCTAAAATTTGAACCTGAAATGAACTTGTGATTTGATTACTGTACATCATGTAATTACATGTATCACCATGCCATGAATAAATAATCCTTCACACACAGGAATAATACATTCAAACTTATCTAAGACGACCATCCAGGGGACCAAGGAAATGTGGTCTTCTCAGACAAGTGGTCTTCTGGAAGACTAGAGAACAAGAAAACTATAGCAAAATTACCACCCATTTTACAATAGAGCCGGTGCCATTTTGTGCAAAGAATTGGGGAAAGGCGCTTAACACGCATTTCCCCCCTCAGTTAGAGGGATCCTGGGCCCTACTAAGGTTTGGGTTGGTGTTAGGAAGAGCATCCAGCCGTAAAAATCTTGCTTCAAAAAAAGACTTGTACCTGGTGCAAGCATGTTAAATGACGTTAAATTCGGTTTAAAAAAAAAAAAGACTGCCATGCTGTCGAAATCAATGGCAAACCAGCCAGTTCCATCATCAAGATTTTTCGTTTAAAAAATGTTCTCCGACACACACTTTGAAGTGAATAGACAGAGATTGGGCCATGTAGCAGTCCCAAATAATAAAGCCGGTCGCAGTCAGGTTGGACAAGTGGCCGGCTTTGGCAAGTCCCTTTATGTTCACGTCTATGGGGGAAAAATTGGGACTGAGAAAAAGCAGTTATTATGGACAGATGGCCAGCTTATAAAAAGTGGTTGTTTGGGAAAGTTTGACTGTATTGTTTAGTTACATACCTGAGTGCATGGATACAGTAGATGACTCTGGGCATGTTCTTCCTGTCGTAGATGTCTGTGGTCTCAGGATAGAAAATCTGGGAGAAAAAAAAAATCATGGAAAACTTGTCCAGGGCACTGTAAATCACTTATGTTTGCAGTAGCAAAAGTTGGCAGTCTGAGAAAAATGTTCTTGGAAGTATACATTCATGGTGGCGACAGGTGCAGCAAAAAGAAAGTCGGCGAGTGATGATAAGTTTCGGGTACAAAAATGACCACCAAAACCGTAGATACAAAAGTACCGCAAAAAAGTGTGATTTACGGTACCCTTTCTACAAGTAGGGAGGAAAATATGGATTGACTTATGTTATCTTTCTAGTAACTATAATTATATGATAATGTTTTAAGTCTGTATGAGAAACATTTTCACTTTCTAGTACTTCATTTTAGCTATTGTTTGTAAAGAATCTTTAGCCATTTCACTAAGAATTACTCATCATGGAGCATGCTATAGCTATCCCTGTGAAAACAATTCAATCATAATTTGAAACATGTTCACTTTCTAGTACACACACAACTACATGTGAATCAGTACTGTTGCAAAAGGCAGGGTTCTAGCTAATGCGAAGTAGCGTTACAAGGGCCCCCTACGCTATAATTTTGACCCCCTACGCTAAATCCCCCCCCACACGCTATAATTTTGACCCCCTACGCTAAATTTTCAACATAGCATAGGGGCACTGTGACTGTATTTCTTTGTTCAAGAATGCGAGATCAAATGTGAAAAATTACCAATCAAGGATACATTGTACATACCTTAGAAATAACATTTTTTCCCTTTCGGTATCCATCAAATGGCCCCTTTTTTAGCTCAATTTTTTAAAAGCTCTGCCCCATCCCCCCTCTCGGTCGCTTCGCTCCCTTGACATGCGGCCAGTACCACTATGCTAAAATTAAATCCTAGCTAGAACCCTGAAAGGAAATTAAAGAATGTTTAGCTATCTATCTAAGAATTACCCCTTCGAGAAGAAGCTCAACCATAATTTTTAAGCTCCTGTTCTGAATTCCAAACAACAGGAGCTTCTTCACTAATTTGCATCATCCTAATGTCTTGACTTGTCTAATTTTGGTTCTTTGGACTTTCAAATTAATTTGTCTTCACTTATTTGCATATCAATCAAAAATTTATCCCTATAAACCTGCATTTCTCCTGCAGTCTCTTAGTGTCACTGACGAGAGGTAGTGGATGCTACCTGAAACGTCTGTCAGTGACCATTTCCAAAATCATATCCAGTTGCTTATGAGTAACTGTTTTATGGCACATAAGTCCTACCTTGGGGAAGCCAACCTTCTCCATGGCTCTCAGCCAGTGGTTGATGTTGTCTGTGTGCCTGAAGTGGAGACCTTTTGCCTGAGAGTGAGGGGCACAAAATCACTGAGGTCAATACAGGATCCACACACAAGTCACTGTACTGGACATGATAATATACAAGCATCAGAACAAGGAATTCGAAGGTTTCATCCATACAGATAGATACAGGCGACAAAACATGGACCTTAAAAATGGAGCATTAGGAATCAAGTAACTTAGTAAGAATGCAGTATAGTAATTTTGGGGTTCCCAGAGGATGTCACCCATATAATCAAATCAACATGGCCTTACATATAAAATATATTATTACTTGCAATAAGCCTCAGAGCATGAACTTTTGTTATATTTGTATTTTGGTTTTGTGTATTTTTCTTTATTTATATGACTGTCATTTTTTTGTAGTACAGTCATGATCAGGCTCAGTATTTAATAATACAATGTACAAAATGTACATCAATGTTCAACTTGAGCCCCTTGATACATTATCACACTACCTGTGCATGAGAGATTATGTAAATATTGTCCAATGAATGCAGTGGAAAATGAAATACATTTTGTTAGCCAGTATCCTCACTATGAGACCGAAAGAAACAGATTATTTCAGACAGTTACAACAATTTCTCCATCCTTTTGTCATTTAGAAGATCACCAAAAAACTGCATTATTTTCTACTAAGATCACAAAACCCAGAATGTGGGACTATTCATTATCCACTGCCTTCAAAGAAGAAGTCGAACCCCATAATAGCTAGGGTAGTAGTAGAAGTAGAAGTTTTTCCAGACAGTTGTTACCTGTCTCCTGTAACTGTATTGCAATGAGTATTATACTTTTGATTATTGTAAAATAAAGCAATTAGCCTTGGGGCATGATTTTGCAAATAAAGTTTCTTTATTATCACTGCCACTATGTATACAGACTTCTACATTGAACAGATTGAATCTCCATGTTTGCTAAGTAGACCAAGTTAAAGGGAACAAGACCATACACTACTTTATCTCATACATAGGCAGAGCCTCAGAAGAGTAAATAGTTAAGTGACCCAGATCTTGATGGATCTTGCCATTGATGCTTTATTTTCTGGGCTACTGAAAAAATGGGTACTAGGGTTTCATCTTTTGTTTATAGCACTTCCTCTCTGTGATGGGTCAGGTTCCAGTGTTGCTTTTAAAAATACTAGAAAAAAATGTTAAAAGGTGTAGGTCAGAAATGCTATATGCGCTAGAATGAGATTGAGAGTTTTTGGTTTCATTACGTTTCTTCATCTACGTCTTTCTGATAGAAACATGTACAGGTAAACTGATATAACTCATAAATAGCTCTAAAAGAATTTTTAAAAAGTAATTTCATGCTTAGTCTGGGATGGGGAGTTTGAAACCAGACCCTTGTGGATGTTGAGTAACGGTTCCTCATTCCATTCCTAAAATAGCACCAGTGGTAAGTACCATTTATACCTGTGGCATTGAGTATCCATGTACACAGCAACATCCTTTGAGTCAACAACACTCAGTACAATGTTCTATTCTGTACAGAGACAAGCCGTCCATGGACAAATATGGCTACTGTCCACTAGTAATTCTCATTCATTCACACTTATCACAGTTGGAGGTGCTCTTCTAACTGAGTAAAATTTAAAAAAAAAACATTTTACTAACAGCAAACCTGCTAACATTTTAGATATGTTTTCAGAAGTGTTGGAAACTTGACAAATACTGAATTTGACACTTTCCATGCCCAACTATTGACTTCATTTTGTGGGTTCTTTGGGGTATCAGTGTTTTAAACTTGGCATGTTGCCTATTTCACACCCATGTGGACACAACTGCCAAGTTGCTTTAGGTCTACGTAATGCCACAAAATTGGGCTCATTGTCCTGTGGGATACACCCTGGTTTAGCGGGTAACGTACACCATAATGGGGAGAGGTCGCGACGACTCCGGTGGCAGCGGTGTATCACGTTTGGGACAACAAGCAGGCATTCAGATCTAACCAACCGGGGGTGGACTTACAACAGCCTGGAACATGAGCGGGGAAACAGGGTGGCAGACAGAAGGAGTCTGAGGGCTTGTCTGTCACATGTATGCTACCATGTCAGGGCACACAGGGGGTCAGGGGTTAGGTAGATATGGAGGGGGGAGGGAGGTACTTAAGGTGGCAGAACACAGTTTTCGCTCTATGGGGATTCATTTTAAGTTAAGCACCCCCAGGTGACTCACTTCGATGCGGTAAAAATTATAGTAGGGTGCACTAGAGAATCACGGCCAACTAATATATTTTATTACGGTATATTCTACAAAATAACTGAAAAACAAACAAGAAGCCATAGGTGACACTTCTCCGTGAAGTATTATATATTGCAACAAAAAGAAGTAGCCATTGGCGACAATTCTCTGTTAAGTGTGATAAATCGAACAAAGAAAAATTGTTTAAACGCGCGTCGGCTCAGTCATCTTAAGACGCAACAACCAATCAGAGATGCGAAATGCCGACACGTGACGCGGGATTTGCATACAGTCTAAACAACGGGGAAGGGCGCGCGATGCCCGAAATATTTTTGCGTCAATATTCAGCGCCGTGTTTCAAGAGATTAATACCGGGAAACAAATTCTTTTCTTGTTTTGAACGCATAAACATCTAGTATGATTCAGGGTTACTTTTTTTTTTACCTGCCATGGCCAGATTATCTAAAGATGTGTGTATTGTGTGTACAATCTACAGAAAGAGAAATGTACATCAGGTCCGATCATCCGATTTTCACGTTTCGGTTTTTTGGACTCGGTTCATGAACGTATTTTGGTTTGGCTCCTGGAATGTGCGAAAAAAATGACTCCCGGGACTGTCTACAGGGAACACTCGCACATTCGCGGTGTATCAGGACAGCGCGACTGGTCGGCATTAGCGCAGTCCCTGTAATTAGTAACAGTTGCACATCAATCCGGCCGAAAGCATGATTGTGTAACACAGGCTACTTCTTCATATACCGGCTCATACTACACGACGCCTTTACAACTAGCAAATCATAAAATTACCCAATCTACTAGTACTGTATGTGCGGTTTACCAGCCCCAGACCACATCCGACCACGAGGCAGAACACATTGATGGGTTGCTCAAAAATATTGTCCATGTTTACAAAGAGCTGCTCCACTAACACTATGGAGCGGCCCAACCCAAAAATATTGGCCATGTGTCGTTGCTAGGACGACCGGCCAGTTGCTACGTGACTAAATACACGCCGCCACTAGGTCGCCACACCCGACCAGTTTGAAATCGATAGGATTACGTCATCGGTATTAACATTTCCTAATGTTGACCTCTGACCACCCCACATTTCCGATCAGCCGCCGCGACTTACTACCGGTGACATAAACGGACGACAACATTTCAACGACATGGGGATGTTTCGAAAATAAGCATTTACTCCAATATCAAAACAGCTACGGTAAAAATAAAAAGACGTGCATCATCCCGGACATAATGCCACACCACATGCGAAATTACACAAAAATGCGACGTACGGAAGAATGCGTTTTGGCTGCGAACATCTTCCAAAAAACTTGGCATCTCTTAACCATGGGCAAAAACATCTGGAACCACTTATCAAAACCACCCCGTATCTGCATGAAGTTCCACCCCCCCACTGCTATTCCAAACAACGCGTTTTTCTGGACCATTCCAATTCGCCTCGTAATTGTAGGGGTGCGTCTGCAATATTACATTGACCGCGAAAGCTGCAACGGCAAAAATACACATTCGTGCATCAACACGGGCATGCCCGAAGACGGCGTATAAAATTGCGTGCCGATTACACAAAGAGAACCCAGTGTTTTGACTGCGAACACGAAAAATCAGCCGATCACAACACTCCGTCCGGAGGTCCTGACCTCCTTCACGGAGTAATAAAGTTATCGTTTTTTAACATAATGACGACCACTTTGATTTGGCCCTCTACCTGGGTCAACGGAACTGCAGCCGGCTCACCCCGGAATGCGGTTGCGTAATGCCGCGCATTTATACACGAACAGGGAAATCTTCACAATCCAAGTCATACCGTGTACAAGCCAATACCTTTCTATACCACACAACATAGTTTACTCATGGCTACCTCTTACAGAAGTCGCTCTAGTCAGGATTCAAGAGGTGCACTACTTTCTATACCCGCGTCATAGACCCTGGGGGTCGCCCATTGATAGTGTGTTCTGCTGCCTTATTAAGGTAAGAAAAACTGGTACATCTGTCCAGGGCTCTTAACCAGCTCGAAATCTTTTTCTGTCAGCTCAGGTTCATGATCGGACCTCGGGGAGAGTGCTCACAATCTGGGGACAGGGACAAATTTTGTATTCTAAAAATGCAATTTCCCACATTTTGATAGGCAAATCATGGGGTTGTGAGTGGTTGTTGTTGGTTCTTCGGATGTTTTTATATTTTTCCAAAATTAGATTTTTGTCCATTGTGTCCATCAAGTTTGAGGGATTGGTTGAGAAAATTTTATGTCACAATTGCCAGAAAGTTCCTGCTAGTGACAAAAAGGTTAGGTGCAAGTAGACATCAGAAATACCAGGTCCTGCACATCTCCAATTTTACCTGCACTAACTTGCATATGCTTGCAGGTGGCATTTCGAGCCCCTCCCATTGGGCTATAGTAATAACATCTGTATAGTCTGTAAATCATTTGATATTTGTGGTACTGTTATATTTTTTGCTGTCACCTCCGTCCTGCAAATTTATCATTAACGCAGACAAAATTTAATAATTCCCCAACTTTCTTTCTTCCGCAGGTACTGTCACCGCAAATATATAGTTCCGCAAACAAGTCATGTCCATTTTTCTCAGAAATTTTGCGACCACGAATATAAAGTGATTTACAGTATTTAGTATAATCTATGTATGAATGATAGTCCACCTGGTATCTGCTCTGATCGATGTCGTACAGTTTCTTGATGGGTACGATGTCTGCGGCGAAGAAGTGCGCCAGTTTGCCGAGGACGACCCCGTTCATCAGCCCCTCCTCCAGCTCCGTGGTGGCGGGCAGCTCCTCACGGATACACGCCTCCATCCACCTGCGCAGGGAACATCACCAAACCTTTAACCAACATACTACAAACATCAGTGGTAGAAATCCTTTTACCTTTGCCAATTAAGATTATAAGGTTATGCTTTCAGTAGCGTTTGTCCATCTGTTTGTTTGTGAACAGCACAACTCAAGAAGCTTTATATGCATTGCCATGACACTTTAAGTAGACCTAGAAATTATTAGGAGTAGATTTTTTAACCCCCTGACAGCTTTTGTTGGTACTGCAGCAGAACTTCCAGTTTTGATATCTCATGATCAGGTCGTGCTAGGGTCACGAACTTTGGTTGGTAGATAGCTCTTGGGATAGGAAGAAGTAACATGAGTTTGGGCCCCCTAGCAGCTTGTTCTGGAACTGCAGGAGCATTTCTTGAAAAATCTTTGGAGGATAACTCAAGAACTGGTTCAACTTGACAGATTTTGTCGTGATTTTTGGTATGTAGGTTTGAAGCAATATATATAATTATTATATAATATATAATAGTAGATCAAAGTTGTTTATGGAAGATACTTTCAAGTTAAGTATGAATTTCAAGGTCAAGTTCTTCTAGAAATGCAAAGAAAAGACTAGTACTATGGGCCTGTGGGGTCAGCTAAGTTACCAATTTGAAAGAAAATAACCCAATAAATTTATATTGTTACTGCCTTGGTTCACCACAATTTTGAGTTTACCAAAGCCATCATCACAGCCATGCATTTTATGAAGTTATAATTTATATGGTAAGTTATATGGTAAACTCAGAATTTGTCTTTAATTTGTACGGAACACTTAAATTTTGCGTCCCCATGGATGAATTATCTACAACCTGCATGTCACAAGGATCCTTATCGTTAGGACTTATTATGTCCTTCTGCATCCGGCACATGAATAATTGAGGATTCTCTATCATCAGGATCTTAGTTACATGTACCCTCCACTGATAGCATCAACGTGAAGTTTATCTTTGCCTTGTTGTAACATACCACTGTGCATAAAACTCAGGGTTGTACAAACTGAGGATGACATTCCATTTTAGTTTTACCTGCAAAACAAGGGCCAGACAAAATTTGCATTTCTATAAGAGAGCGGATATAAGATGGGACAAAAAAGTTTCATACCCCCCACCTCACATCAACATTGTGAATTTAATATCTAAGATGTATTGGAAATCAAATAGAAAGCTTAAAACAACTCCTGCAATCAAATGTGCAAAGAATTGAGCGTAACAAGCCGTTCGGTGTGATATAGCTAGCTGCCGCCGCGCCGTGTGCCTGCGAAGCTGGTGTGTTACGCCGAAGGGTGGTTATACTGGCTATACCGATACAGATCATCAGCAGAATCTCTGATATTTCCAACAATTGGTAACAGGCCAGCTGGGGAATCATTGAAGCAACGCCTCCCAAGGCTCCAGTCTGTCCCAGTATGAGTCTTACAAATGGACAGGCCCAACAGTTATCACACAGTTACATCCTGATATAGATTATATTTCCTGAAGCCTTGCCAATTTGGACAATGATGTACTAGGCAGACTCTCTATCTCCTGTGTAAATTAATGCTGGAGTCATGGGGTCAATGTTAGATAGATCTAACGGATTTCTATCAAGAAATACATGGAATTTCTCAGGAGGTACCGTAACAGTAGAGTAAGTTTTAGTTATTTTTGACGGGAAGTGACTCTATCATCTCTATGACTATAGGATGTCTAAGCAAACTGGGTATCAGCCAAGTAGAAGGTAATTCATGGGACAAAATGATCTACATTTGTAGGGCTATTAAAAAAGATAACTCACCATATTTTATGAAGTATGATATTGCTGTAATGAATAGTTCAGTCACAGTTTCAAAAGTGGAGATCTCACAAGTCTCATCTAAATTGATTTTCATAATGAGAGGAAGGACGGCTTCCATACATTCATTTTCTGTAGTACTGGGCCATTTTTATAAGAGTTTAATAAAAAAAAGGCATCTCATCTTAATTAATTCTACTACTTTCTAGTGATGATGCCCTAACTGTGCTTGGTGGCAACGAGTTCCAGTCTACGATATATAGTTCTGGGGAAATACGAGTTTTTGAATACCTCAATTCTTGGTTGATAACTCTGATATTTGAAGGCATGACTGTTTCTTGTTCTTTTCTGGGCTAGTATCAGATACCTAGTGGTTGGTACGTCCACATAAAAGTACAAAATACACATCATCACACTAATTTACTTATTTATTCACATTAAGCTACATTCAGGCCACGCTGATTTTATTACAGTAATTCTCTTCATGATTGTTCACAATAGCAAAAATTCACAGTCTAAGAAAACAAAAGTTGTTCTTGGAACTATATGTTCACAATAGCGGCAGGTGCAGAAAAAAGAAAGTTAGTGAATTATTTTTTTACATGCCTTTAAAAAGTTTAATTCATAACCTTTTGCAGTTTTAATTCATAACCTTTTGCCTATGGATGAGCCATGTTGTTATTCTAGGAGCAGTGTGTATTTATAGGTTGTTTATTTGACAGGCATGGTGACTTATGAATGAATGTAACCCATTAACACAACAGACAAATATTGACAGGTTATGTACATTGTTGGGCGGGGCTTGGGGCCTCATTTTTCTCTGTTGTTTACTCATTAATAATAAAAACATGCCAGTGTTGCCTTATATAAAATTCAGGCAAATTGATAGCTTTCTGAGTACTATACAACATTTGGAAGAATTTATTGCAGTGTAACTGTAAGGCCACACCAATTTAATTTGTTGCTTCTCAGATCGCCCTGTCCTTTTTTTCTGATTTGCAAAAAAAAGAAAATTTGTTCTAAATTAACTGCAAAATGCTTAATGAAAGACATATTTTGGCCCCAACGGTTGAAGAAAAATTGTTGTAATAATGCAATTTTGTTTTATTAAAAGTTCAAAGTATACTTTTTTAATTGTAAACCAGCCTGGTATGTTCAATTCATGGCTCATATTGTAACATTTCCGGCTATCATGGAGTGCCTTGGCCTGTTTTTTTTTTTTGCCCTGTCGCTTCATATTTTTTTGGAAAAAATCCGAGAAACAACAAATTAAATTGGTGTGGCCTTAAAACATTACAAGTATGTGCATTCAATGCATGTGAAGAAGTTTTGACATGTTTCCATGGGACTCTCCCTTGCCATAGCATATATGTGTAATCAGACAACAACAACAACATACATTTAAAGAAATGTCATCTGAAATTATACATTATGAGGAACGTCAATCGTGCAGCGCTTAAAATTCGTCTTAAGAATTTGAAATTTGGGTGCACAGAAAAAATTTTGTGAGCACAACATGAAATAAACTAAAATGTCAGAAAAACCATTCATGGTTTCCAGCTTTGAAAAATAGCAATGACCCAACTTATGAATCTGATAAAGTGATAATCTAATTGCTTGGACATTAACAAACGTCTCCAATGTACTGACCATTTATCATCAGATGTCAACTCAAAACGATTCAAAATTTTTATCACGTCTATCATAGTGTTCATACACTGGGTACAGGCATAACAGTAACAGCATGCAGAGGCTGTGAGACATTATAATATAAAACAGCTTGACTGTAAAAGCAGCAAGTGAGATACAGAATGTACATGTAAACAGACAATAACTAAGCCTTCTAATCATAACCTATGAATGATGTATTCTTTGTTTACTCTAAGGCCAAACCAATTTAATTTCTTGGTTAATGGATTTTTCTAGAAAAATAATGGAGCGGGCGGGCGAAATAAAAATAAAAACAGGCCTAGGCATCCTATTATGGCCCAAAATGGTACAATAGGAGCCATGAAGTCAACACACCAGGCTGGTTCAAAATTTAAACATTGAATTTTGAACTTTTAATGATACCATTGCATTGAAAAATGGAATAACTGTAACAAGTAGGAGGAAAAGGACTGTTTTCAACTGTTCAGGGCAAACTATGAGCATTTTGCAGTTGATTCTGAATTTTTATTTTTATTTGCAAATCAGAAAAAAATGAAGTGGGCGAATCTGTTAACCAAGAAATTAAATTGGTGTGGCCTAACGTAAGAAAAAAAGATGGCTACCAGAGACTACTAATAATGACATCCAGCATTGAAGATGACAAGGTCATTGACCCCATAACCATGTGGGACTGTTTTGAATATAAGATTATTGATTTCACATCAAGCTGATATTCATTGGAAGAATTTCAAAAGGCTGCCAAATGGTCAATAAGTCATTGTATAGTCCATATTTCGTCTTTTCCAGTTCAAGCCAATACTCTGATGTCCCGATTAAACGTACCGGTACGTTTATTTTTTTCGGCCCGAACGTCCACCCGGTACACTCTTATTAGGGACGGTACGTTTATTAATTTTTGGGGAAAAAATTGTCCATACGTACCGCACCATCAGCAAGTGGCCGGCGGCCGCAAAATTCGGCAACACGTCACAGATAAATATTTGGTCCATGATAGCGGCATTTCCCATGAATATAATGTATATTATTTATTTTTCGCCTGCTTTCCATTTTTAAGTCCCAAAACGTCTGAAAAAGCAAAAATTTGCCCACAAAACCGAAGGGGAAGGCGAGTAGCTAATCGACGTATTTAGCAAATGGCGGCCGCAAGTCCTTGTCAAAATCGGCAACGCGGCAGAAAAATGCCTGGTCCATTTTAGCGATATTTACCATGAAAATAACGTATGTGGTTTATTTTCCCTCTGGTGTTAGTTTTTAGGTCCCGAAACCCCTAAAAATGTAGAAATTTGCCCACAAGACGGACGGCCGACGTGGGGAGGGCGCCTAGCGCCTGAGCAGCATGACCCGTAAAAAGTCAAAGGTCATAGGGCACCCATATTGCGCAATCACCGTAAAAGCGCCGATTTAGCTAATTTTAGGGCGTTTAAAATTGATACAATCACATTATCGATTTTTTAAAAAAACAATGAGATGGAAACCAATCAAATGTTTATGCTGAATAATATTTTTTTTCTTCAAAAGTTTTTTTCTTCAGAAGTTTTTCTTCTTCAGAAT